CCCCCTCCTTCTCACCCGCCTGCCAAGGTGCACTACTTGGGCTGCTCACCCTCCCCTCATCATCACAACCCCTCTCCTCCCTCATTTGTTCCTTTTCCTTTTCCTCATCATCGTGCTCCTCTCCCTTCCTCCCCCTCGTCCCCCTCCCACCCCTTGTCCTTATGAATTGTCCCCTCCCTGGCGAACCCCAGGCGTGTCGGTAGGGCGGGCCAGGCATGCCGCCTGGGACATTCATCGTGAAGTTTGGATGTGGCAGCGTTTCAATGGAGTTCACGGGAGTGGTTTTCAACAAGGGGTGTTGGCCTCAGCGCCGCGCATGGTCGTTATTACATGTTTGCAACAGCATGCAATATCGAGTAGGCTGCTTTCCAAAAGTGGGGCTGTCGCCTCAGAGCCACGCACATCCGTTCGAACACACACACACAACTGTTTCAAGTATGGACCACATGTGGTTTTCAACATGTGGCTTTCGCCTTGGCTCCGCGTGCATCCGTCACTTGAGGGGGCTGCTTTTCAGAAGAAGGCTCACGCCTCCGAGCCGCGCGCACTCGTTGAACACATACACAGCTGTTGCAGGATTGGGCGCTGGTGGTTTTCAACATGCGGCTCTCGCCGTAGCGCCGCGCGCATGTTTCGTCGTAGACCCAAGAGGGGCGCGTATGCGCATGGAGGGCTTCAGAATGGGGTCTTGCCTTCGCGCCGCGCACATTCGGCCTACGTGCAAGCGTGCGGCATCAGTTTCAAGGATGGGTGGCGCTGCCTTTTCTAGGGGCTCTCGCTTGAACGCCGCGCACATTCGTTGCAAAAGCTTAGTGAGGTGCTTCTTGTTCAGAACTGGGATCTCGTTGGACACCATGTTGAACTGAATGGTAATTCCCCTGCGCAGTCTGTACGACTCGTTTGCATGGCAGCTCGTGTTCAGAACGGGGCTCTCGCCTGAATGGCAGACCCATAGGCTACTGATCTTTCAAGGTGGCGCTCCTTGCAGTGAGAAGGAAGGCTTGAGGGGACTGGTGAGGAGTGGACTTAGGACGGGAGGGTGCATTGCAGCATCGCTCCTCTTCCTCCTCCTCTTCTCCTCCCCCGCCTCCCCTCACCATCTCCCCTTCACCCTCGCCTCCCCTTTGTCGTCGTCCTCCTCCTCCCTCTCTTCATCCGCCTCCCCACTATACCAATCCCCTCGTGCTCCCCAGATGATGCATCTGGGATTTGCTCTGCTCCTCCTCCTCCCCCCTCGAGGCGGGCATTGGCCGGCGAGCACGACGCAGCGCATGCGCCGCGCCGCGGGGCAGCGCGCGCCGCGCCCGCACGCCAGCGCAGCGGCGCCCGCCGCGGCGCGGGGGCCTTGTGCCGCGGCGCCCGCGGCCGCGGCGCATGCGCTGCGCTGGGCCGCCCCCGAGAGGCTGGCCGCATGGCGTCGGGCGCTTGCGCCGCGGCCGCCGCGCTGCGCCTCGGCGGGCGCCGCGGCGTGGGGGCGCCGTGCCGCGGCGCCTCTGGCCGCGGGCATCGTGCGCGGGAGCGCGACCGAGACGCCGGGCGCCTGGCGACAGGCGCTCGCGCCGCCGCGGCCGGCGGAGCCCGGCGGGGGCGGGGCCGCCCCGCGGGCGCGGCAGGGCGGGCCCCCGCCGGGCGACGTCGCCGCCCTGAACTCTGTGGTGCACGCGTGCGGCTCCGCCGCGAGGTGGGAGCTCGCCCTGCGGTGGCTCCGCGGCGCCGTGGCCGGGCGGGTCCGGGCCAACGTCGCGACCTACAACAGCGCTATGAGCGGGTGCTCGCGGGGTCGCCGCTGGGAGGCGTCGCTCCTGCTGTTCCGCGAGCTGCTCCAGCGGGGCCTCGAGCCGACAGTGATCACGCTCACCTCGCTCATCAGCGGGATGGAGAAGGCCCGGCAGGCGGGCAGGGCGGTGTACTGGCTCGGGGAGTGCCGCCGCAGGAGGCTGCGGGCGGACGTCGTGGCGTACAACTCCGCGATCAGCGCATGCGAGAAGGCGCAGGAGTGGCAGCGTGCCGTCCACCTGCTGGCGCAGATGTGGGGCGGCCAGCTCGCCCCGGACGAGGTGACCTACAACGCGTTGGCGAGCGCGCTGGAGCAGGCTGGGCACTGGGAGCTGGCGCTCGGGCTGCTGCAGGGCATGCGGCGGGCGAGCGTCACGCCGGGCACGATCACCTACAATGCGGGGATCAGCACTTGCGGAAGGGGCTTGCGCTGGGAGGCGTGCTTGGCGCTGTGGGGGGAGATGGCCACAGACCACATTGAGGCGAGTTCTCTGAGCCTCGACGCTCTGCTGGGAGCCTGCGAGAGAGCGGAGCGGTGGGCCGGCGCCGTGCAGCTGCTGCGCGAGTGCAGGCGCGCCAGCGCCCCCTGTGGAGCCGCGGCTCGCGCCTGCGAGGAGGGCGGCCAGTGGCGCGCGCGCGGGACCGCGGCCAGGTTCGCCGCGGCCGCCGCCGAGCGGCGGGTGGCCCGAGGGTGTGCCGACGAGTGGCAGCGCACGAGCCCTGCCGCGCGGGCCTCGCATGCCGTCTTCTGCCGCGCGGAGGCCGAGCGCGCCCTCCGCCGCACGCCCGCCTGGCTGCGCGCCAGCGGCGAACTGGTCGCGGGGCTGCGCCGCCTGCGCCTGAGCCGCGGGCCTCGGGGCGAGCTGGGCGCGCGCCTGCGCGAGCCGGTGCTCGAGGCCGCGGCGGCGCTGGGGTCCGAGGCCGCCCGCGAGGCCCTGGCCGGGGCACGGGGCGGCCCGCGGAGCGCCGCGGATGCAGAGCACGTCTGGGCGCCGCGGGCGCGCGGGGCGGCAGTAGCCCGCCTGCTGCAGAGGGCCGGGGGTCCTGCGCCGCGGCCAGGCGTGCTCGAGCTGGCCGCGTGGGCGTCCTGGTCTCTGCGGCTGGGCCCCGCGTCGGCGCGCGGGGAAAAGCTTGCTGGCCACACATCGCCGTGCGCCCTGTGCTCCGGCGACCTATGCCCACTCCAGCAGCGCTATCGGCCCCACCACCGCCACCACAGACAGTACCACCACTGCCACAACTGTTCCCACTCCCACCCCCGCGACCGCCACCACTTCCACCACTACCACCCCCGCGACCACTTTATACAACCACCGCTATTGCTGATGCCGCCATCCGTGTCCTCGCCCTGTTTGCCTCACAGTGATGTGTTGTAGCACAGTTGCTTGTAAGGTTGGAGCTGTTGTACGTTACGCTGCACTGCTTCAGAGTGTGCTTAGCATTCCGCGTGTGAGGCGGGAGTCGTCTCGGAAGCAGGGTGGTGTCAACGCGCCAGCGGCCGTGACCCGATACATGTGTTTATGTTGTGTCTTCGCATGTTTCCTGCATGCCGGTTGGTTTGCATGGCTGCTTCTTTGCCTGCGCTGCGTGTGGCTGCGTCAGCGAGAGATTTGGATGCCTCCTGTGAGGCGGGAGTAATTTGCGGAGGTTCAGGGAAGGCTTGGCGTTGATCTGCCAACGGCAATGTCCAGACACTGTGTGGATTGCTGCAGCGCAGCATTGTCATTGGATTTGTTGTTGCTCACGTGGCATATGATTGTTGTTTGCTGCGACTGGGTGCTTCCGCTTGAGCTCGAGATTCTAGCGGCCATGACCGGAATAATAGTTGGCGTGCGCACGTATCCCCAGGCTGTGCGTGCCCTTGGGGTCCTTACTTGTTCTCTCAATTAGCTGGATGGGTTCCCTGGGCTCTCGCACATAGCTGATGCCACATAGCCTACACAACGTAGCTTGCACCACAAAACTCGCACCGCATAGCTTGCACCACATGGTTCACCACATACATGGTTTGCGCTACACAGCTTGCACCACCTGGCTTACGCCACAGAGCTTGCACCGGACAGTTTGCACAGCATGGCTTTAATCGCATCGTTTACATCACTTCGCCTGCACCGCATGGTTTGCATGACATAGCTTGCACCACGCATACGGCATCGCACAGATTGTGCATCGCGAGTGCAATCAACTATTGCTCGGGGCCCACGCTGGCAAACGTTGCGCAGATTATGGGGAGCTTCAGCTCCCCATCACCATCATCATCATCATCATCATCATCATCATCATCAGCATCATCATCATCATCATCATCATCATCGTCATCGTCATCGTCAGCATCATCATCATCTACCACCATCAGCATCATCATCATCAGCAGCAGCATCGTCATCGCCATCATCGTCGTCATCATCATTAGCAGCAGCAGCATTATCACCATCATCGTCACCACAACCATCATCACAAACCACCATCATCACCCCTCATCAATCATCCTTCTCCTCCCCCTCATCATCAGCCTTGTTCGCCCCTCCCCTGCGTGGAACCAGGCCTCCCCGCTCATCCCCGTCCCGTGCACGATGAGCGCCCGCTCCGTTTCCGTGCCACGGCTCCTCGCGTCTCGCGGGCCGATCCGTTTCGGAGGCAGGCCGCCGTCCTGGTCGTCCTGCCGATCCTTCCTCCCCCCTCCTCCTCCTCCGCATCGCCATCATCAGCATCAGCAGCAGCATCATCTTCGTCTTGAACTTCATCCTCATGAGCATCAGCATTGTCATCTGATCTATCATCGTCAGCACCCCAGCACTATCACACTCCTCGGAATCATCACCACCATGATCATCATCACCACGACCATCTTCGTCGTCACCATCAACAGCATCACCATCAGCAGTAGCAGCATCACCAACAGCATCGTCGTCATCATCATCGTCATCATCATCATCTGCATCAGTATCATCAGCATCATAATCAGCATCATCGTCATCGTCATGATCATCCGCAACCTCAGTATCCTCCTTCTCCTCCACCTCATCATCACGATCAGTATCGTCGTCATCATCAGCAGCATCACCATCAATGTCGTCATCATCATCATCATCATCATCAGCATCGCCATCAGCATCACCATCACCCTCACCATCACCATCACCATCACCATCACCATCACCATCATCGCCCATCCATCCATTATCCATCCACCCATCCGCCCATCCATCCTCCCTCTTCGTGCCCAAGAGCTGCGCGCCGTGGCGCGGCCGCCCCTGCACCCCCCCGCGCGCGCGCGCGATGTCGGCGCTGGGCGCTGGCCGCGAGGGCGCAGAGGACCCCCGCTTCGCGTTTTTTCTTCCGAGCTCCTCGCTCCGCCTCGCTTTCGCATCGCCTCCTCCTTGCTCCTCGTGCGCTCCTCCCCGCTCCTCGTTCCTCCTCCTCGTTCCTCCTCCTCCTCGCTCCTCCTCGCCTTCTCATAGGCCTCGCTCCTCGCTCCTGCTACTCCTGGCCCCTCACTCCTCTTCCTCGCTCCTCTTTCCCCGCTCTGCGCTCCTCCTCCTCCTCCTTCTCCTCCTCTTCCCTCCTCCTCCTCCTCCTCCTCCTCCTCCTCCTCCTCCTCCTCCTCCTCCTCCTCCTCACTCCTCCTCCTCCTCATCCTCCTCCTCCTCCTTGCCTCCGTCGAGGTCGAGTTTAAGGGAGGAGGGATCTCGGAGTGCTCGCGCTCCCTAGCATCCAGAATCTGGTTCTGCCGCTTGCTCAGAGGACGTCCTCTGAGTGGTCAGGCGGCTGAGCGCTCGAGGCCCAGGACTGGGATACAATGAACAACCAGAGCGCTACGGAGCGCGCTGCAACGGCCGCGACGCCCGATCCACCCTCCAGAACCGTCGGATGCCAGAGATCATCCTCCTTCTCTTCCTCCTCCTCCGCCTACTCCTCCTCCTCCCCCTCCTCATCCCCCTCCTTCTCCTCCTCCTCATCAACAACATCCACAACATCATCATCATCACCACCATGATCATCATCACCAACAGCTTCCACGATCTTCCATCATCACTATCACCATCGTCGTTATCATCATCAGCGTCATCAACATCATCAGCATCAATATCATCAGCAGCAGCATCGTCATTATCATCAGCATCATCATCAGCAGCAGCGCCATCACCAGCATCATTATCATCTACATCATCAGCAGCAGCACCAGCATCATCATGATATACAACATCACCACCACCATCATCATCACCACCACCATCATCATCATCATCATCCTCATCATCATCATTTGAAGTACCGTCATTATCACCATCATCATCATCACAACAACAGCACCAAGCATCTTGATCATCATCAGCATCATCATCGTCATCGTCATCATCATCATCATCATCATCATCATCATCATTATCATCATCATCATCATCGTCATCATCATGATCACCATCATCAGCAGCAGCATCACCATCGTCGTCACCGCCGTAGTCGGCGCCGCCCGATGTCGTCCCAGTGGTAGCTTTGTCCTGCCCTCCCTTGCTGTCCCCACGCCGGAGGAGCAGGCCTTCTTCCACTGCGGCGCGTGCGCGCGGGAGTGGGCGGGCGCGCCGCCCCGTGGGGGCGGGTGCCCCGTCTGCCGCCTCGAGCTGGTGGAGGGCCGCGCGCCCGCCTTCTTCTCGCAGGCACCGGCGGGCGGCGCCCCCCTGGGGTGCACCGGCGTGTGGGATGCTCCCCCCCTTGTGGAGACCCAGGCTTCCTCGCGTTGTGAAGGAGTCACGACGGCAGGTTTTTCACCATGTTCGGCCTCCATGGGGCCCTCGCCAGGCCCCGGAACCGTCAAGAAACGGCTCAGGATGAAGAACGGGTTCCCAGGAAGGGGTCCAGATGTCTGGGTGGTCACGTCATGAAAGAGTCACGACGCCGGGGGGTCTGGGAAGAGTGCAGCCTCTCTACCCCTCTGCCGTGCACTCGCGGCAGCAGGCCAGCACAGCCGGACGTGCCCGGAGGCCCCTGCGGGAGCATTTCTCGTTGCGCGCGCCGCCCGCCGCTGTTGGGCCCTGGTCCGAGGGCCTCGGGACTGCACCCGCATCCGGCCGCCGCGCGGCCCGCTGGAAAACTTGCTTGTTCACACACACACACACACTTTTTGGTCTGCGGGTCGAGAGCGAGCCTCTTCCAAATAAGGGCTAGGCGGGCCGCGCAAAAAGCAGTAATTGGGGAGACAGGGCGCGGGCGGGCGGGGCCTCATGCGCCTGAGTTTTTGTTGTTATATATATATATATATCAATATATATATATATATATACATTAATATATATATATATATCAATATATATATATATATATATATATATATATTGATATATATTGATATATATATAATATATATATGATATATATATATTTACATACATACATACATTCTCATTCAAACACACACACACACACACACACACACACGCCCCCGAACCCCACCCCCGGGAGCCCGGCCCGGTCGCTTTGGAGGGGGGTGGGGAGGTCCCCCCCTGGGGACCGCTGGAGCGCACCACGGGGGGACAGAGGGCCCCAAAACAGGCCGAGAGGGCCCCAGCATCCCCACTTCGTCCTCGGGCATTACCCCACTTCCCCAGAGATCCTGGCGTCGCAGGCTGTTCGGACGGGGCGTTTCCACCGAAGTTCGGGCCTCGGGGCCCTCGCAGCCCGATCCGGCTCGAGAACTGCCGCACAAGGATTGTGTCGAGGACGCCAGCAGTGATTTCTCGCAGTGCTGCCTTTCCCAACCAGCTTGTGGTGTTGGCCCTCGTTTTGAAAAGAGAGCGCCTCCCCTCCCCCTCCTCATTCCTCCTCCCATCCCTGCCCCTGCTCTCCGCGGTCACATATCGACCCCCCCCCCTCACACGCTGCGTGGCCTCATAAAAAAGCTCCACAGAAACCCTTGGGGCGAACGTCGTATGCGATCACCCATCCACGTCGGCACACCCCGCACACGTCTCGTGGCCCCACAAGGAGTTCCACCGTAGCCCCCGGGAGGGGTGGTGGTCGCTTGCGGTCACCAACCCATTCCAGAACACCCCTCGCACGTTTCGTGGCCCCACGGGGAGCTCCACCGAAGCCCCTAGGAGGCGGGGTTCACCTGCGGTCACTCACCCATTCCGGCACACCCCTCACACGTTTCGTGCCCCACATAGAGCATCACCGAAGTCATGGAGGGGGGTCGCATGCAGCTTCCCACCCATTTTCGACACATCCCTCACACGCTCCGTTGCCCCATGGGGAGCTCCATCGAAGTCCCCGGGAGGTCGCGCCGCGTAGCGTCCCCCAGCCCATTACGGCACGGTTCGTGGCCCAATAGGGAACTACAAAGAATGGCGCGCTTCGTAGGCCATTACAGCACGCTTCTTGCCAGCCAAGGGGGTGGTACCGCATAGCGCCGCCTTGCCATTTTCAGCATGCACACACACACACACACCTCACAAGTTTGGTGCCCCACTCCAGAGCACCACTTAAGGCCCCAGTGGGTGCGTCCATATGCGGCACTCCGCCCGTTTCGGCACACATCTCACACACTTCGTGGCCACATAAGAGAGCTCCATCGACGGCTCGATGGCAGCGACCGCATGCGTTCCCTTTGGCCCATGTTTGGCACACCGTTCACACATATCGTGGCCCCACAGGGAGTTCCACCTAAAGCTCCAGCGGGTGCGTCCACATGGAGCCCCTGGACCATTAGGGAGCTCCACCTAGGCCCCAATGGGCGTGTCCACATGCGCCTCCTGCACATTTCGGGACACCCCTCTCGAGCTTCGTGGCCCCACAGGAAACTCGACGTAAGGCTCCCGTGGGTGCGTCCACATGCGCCCCCTCCCCCCCGCTCTTTCCAGCGCACCCTCACACGCCCCAGTGGGCGGGCCGCGGACGGGCCGCAAGTGGGTCGCGGGCGGGTCGCGGGTGGGTTGCGGATGGGTCGTGGGGTGTGTCGCGGGTGGGTCGCGGGGTGGTTCGCGGGCGGGTCGCGGGTGGGTCGCGGGCGGGTTGAGGGTTGGGTTGGGGGTTGGGTCACGGGCGGGTCGCGGGGTGGGTCGCGGGGCGGGTCGCGGGCGGATCGCGGGGCGGGTCGCGGGCGGGTCGCGGGTGGGGGGACGACGACAAATCAACGGCAACAACGACGCCACCCTTCAGATTTCCCTTTCGGCCACGCACCCAGGGACAATGAATGACCGCTCGGCCCCCTCACTCTGACTTAGATGCCCTCCTGGATTGTTCGCGCGCCCAGTTTGTTCCCGTTCTGGCGCCCGCGCACGCGGATGATATCAGTCCGACTATGCAGGGTATTGCGGAAGAGGTCGTCGATCGCATTGTACCAGCAGTTGTTTGGTTGCGTTGCCAGCTTGAGACGGCTGGCACCATCATATCTGGCAGGAACGCCACGGTCTGCTCCCATGCGTCTGTGGAGCAGGAGGTACCCGCGCGGATTACCAGCACCGGCATCAGGATTTGTCGTACACCAAGGATGCGCGAGACCTGGGGGGCACGGCCACGGCGGGAAGGCGTCGCCGCGCCAAGACGGGGCCAGGCCGCGGCATTCTGCGGCCCGCAAGAAGGCCCGACGCGTTACAGATGTATCCAAAATCGTCGGGGGAGCTGGTAAGTTCCACAAGCCCGCCGCGCATTCTGTCGGGCTCTGGGGCCATGGCGCCCTCGGGCCCGCGCCTAGCCAGATCCAGATCATAGGGTTCCCTGGCGGCCGCGCGCGTTGGGTGGTGGGGCCCCAGGGCCTGCGCCTCGTCTGTGCTAGGCATGCGAAGCTCTGCCAAGGGTGGCCCCCAGCATAGGTTGAGATACGAGCAGCTGTCCAGCTCTGCCACCGCCTGCGGGGGGGCCTTGGGTCACGAGCAGAGGATGATGGTTGCACAGGCTTGGAGAAGTATGCAGACGAAGTTTTCGAGAACTTCGCACCGCTGGCAGGTCGCGCAAGGCCCCGAAGCTGCCACCATTGCTACCCTCATGGGCCTCCAGTGGAACCCGGTGTCGCCTGTTTGTGTGCACGGCGGAGGTTTGCAGCCTCCGCGTCGCCGATGAGGATCTCCTTTCTGCGCGCTTGCGCCAGCTGCTCGACACTTGCTCTGCGTTGTCTCAGCAGACGGCGTCGCTGCGTTACGCGGGTGGAGGATCCGAGGACGGGAAGGAGGTAGCGGGGATCCTACGCAACGTCATCACGGCTGGCTACTGGACTGAGTCTCGTCCAGTGGCCGCTGGGCATCGTTCCATCTCCGACAGCTTATGCCCAAGGTACGGCGCCTCAGAGGAGGCCCCAGCGTCGGTTCTAAGCCTGTGACTGCAATCGCCTCATTCCCGACCAGGTCGTGGAGTGAACCGACCGATTGGCCGAGCCGAGCCTCGGCTGACGCGTCTCTGGTACCTTTGGCCCCCTCCCTCGAATTCCTCGCGCGGCCACCTCCCTCCCCCGCGGGCCCGGAGCGAGGCCGTCTTGTTGGGAAACAGCTGATCCGCGGCGGAGTCTGGGGCATCGATGGATCGGGGGGGACGCGCGCTAAAGGCCAGAGGCTTCGGAGGTGCGGCTGGGCGATTGTGCGCTTAGGTTCCGTGGGCATGTGCGACGCCGTCCGCAGCGGCTCTCTCCCCGCCGTGCGCCAGTCTCCTCTCCGAGCTGAGTTGTAGGCACTCAACCAGCTCGCGCTGCGCGCTACTGGAGATTGTCGAGCGCATTGTGATTGTCTGGCGGTCGCGGAAGGAGTGCTTCGACCCATGGAGGCCAAGGACAGATCGAGCATGCAGGTGTTACCATGGTATTCTGAGGGCCCGAGGAGACTCGATGAATGTTCTGGACCAATGGAAACATGTTGTCATCCGATGCTGAGGTGTATTTGAACAGGGTGGCAGATCAGTTCACGTTCGAGGCAGCAGCTCGCGTTCAGGCCTCGTACCAAGACGTTGCTGCCATATTCCAAGCAGATCTGCTCGCTGCCGAGGTTTTGAGAAACAACAGAAAAAAAACTGCTTCTTGTCCAGGGAGAAGTCACGGTCTCTAACCGGCGTGGCCTGCGTGTGCCTAGAGCTAGAGCCCCGAGGAGAGAACGGGGCCAGTTCACCAGTTTTGCTGAACGTATGTGTAGGCTTCGAGACTCAGGACATTTCCTTGGCGCGCGCAAGGCAGTCACGCATGGCTCACAGTGTGCCCGGAGTTTTTATTTTCAGGGGACCTTTGTGTGATTTTTGGCCCGACCCATGCAAACCACGATGTGTGATCCAGCAGCGTGTCCAGACGCTGCCTTCTCGCCCTGCGGTGGATCGATTCGCCCCTGACTTTGCTCCCGACCCCGTCCCTAATGACCCAGGCCCGTCTGGGATGTGCGGGAGCGCGTTTGACCACCCGCTGGCAGATCGTTGCGAGCCCTCTCTCCACCTCGCGGTGTATCGCGGAGTGCTTTATTGTACGACGTGCGGTGGCTTTTGTATTGTCATGCCACCGCGCATGTTGAAACAGTTTTGCCAAGCACCCAGTAAAGCTGGGCGCGATGCGTTGTCGAGGTTCAGACGGGAACCAGCTTCCCCGACTTGGGCGGATGTGGTTGATGCGGCCTGCTTAGCAGCAGGACCTTACGCTAGAGGACCCCAGGATCTCCCACTCCTCCTTTCCCACGCATGCTGCTGCAATCGTTGCTCCTCCTCCTCTTCCTCCTCCTCCTAATTATTGTTTCCCCTTGCCCCCCAACCCCCCTCCCAGCCCAGCGCGCGCGGGAGGAGTGGGAGGAGGAGGAGGAGGACGAAGAGGAGAGTGAGAGAGAGAGAGAGTGAAGAGTAGGAGGGCGACGTCGACAGCCTCTAGGGTTGGCCCTTTTCTCTTCCGTTTTTTTTGGGCCGACGTTTAGAATTGTGGACGGCGCTTCCCGTTACCACGCCTGTGAATATCAACGAACTGCGCGAATCATTTTTGTCTCCTCTTCATCCCCCCCTCCTCCTCCTCCTCCTCCTCCTCCTCCTCCTCCTCCTCCTCCTCCTCCTCCTCCTCCTCCTCTCCTCCTCCTCCCCTCCTCCCCTCCCCCTCCTCCTCCTCCTCCTCCTCCTCCTCCTCCTCCTCCTCCTCCTCCTTCTCCTCCTCCTCCTCCCCCTTCCCCGTTTCTCATCCCTCGTCCTGCTCCTCGTTCTCATGCTCCTCCGACGACGGAGGCGTTGATGGCGACGACGACGCCAGTGGCGGCGACGACGATGCGGCGGCAGACCGCCACCGGCGGCGCCACCGGCTCGCGCGCGCCCGCGCCGCCGCCGCACTCGCGATCGCTGCAGTGGGCCGGCGCCGAGGCCCCCGAGGGTCGGGCCCGTCGCGGTCTCGTCGGTGCGGTCGTCGGGGGGAAAGTCGTCGCGGCCGGCGGCGACGTCCGCTGGCGTCGTGGTCGCGGTCGTCGTCGGCGTCGCCGTTTGCATCGTCGTCGTCGTCGTCGTCGTTGTCGCCGTCGTCGTTGTGGTGGTCTTCGTCGACGTTGTCGCCGTCGTCGCTGTGGCGGTTGTGGTGAACGTCGTCGTCGTGGTCGTCGTCGTCGTCCGTCGTCGTCGTCCGTCGTCGTCGTCGTCGTCGTCGTCGGCCCGTCGTCCCTCGTCGTCCGTCGTCGTCGTGGTCGTTGTCGTCGTCGGCCCGTTGTCGTCGTGTTCGCGCGTCGCCCGTCGTCGTCATCGTCGTCTTCGGTGAGTCGTGCGGCGGCGGCAGCCACGTCGTCGGCGTCGTTGTCGCCGCCGTCGTCGCCGTCTTTGTCGTCGTCGTCAAGGGGCCCTAGCAGGCCTCCAGTCGAAGACAAAACAACGACACAAACAGTAATGTTCGGAGATCTGCGCGGAGTTATTGGATCGGCGCTGGGTCCCCCTGGCGCCTTCAGCGGCGCAGTGCACATAATACTGAGCGCGCCCAGGAGAAGGTCCAGTGCCGACCCCAAGGAATCCGGGCGGACTTCCGGCATGAAGATGTGAGCAGCACCAGAGAAGCTCTCATCCAAGCGACAGCTGATAAAGTAATAACGCTGGCTTCGTGTTCTAATCGATGGTGTTCGGGCGGGTGCTAATAGGGTTGACCAAATTGGGGGTGAAGACAAGAGTCCCAAAGAAGCCGTTTTCCTCACGTCCCATTTCGGTGACCCCGCATTACCACTCGCAACGTAACAGGCTGAACATTGTAGTTCAAAGTTGGGAATCATATTGGCATACCACCATGAAGTACATGTAAATGGGGAACGGTGCGGGAAATTAAAGCCAACAGTGCGAAGGAATGGTCACGCCAAATCTTACAGAAGGAGCTTGACTACGATGAACATTTACTGACACAACTACGGGTTGGGCGTTCAAAGACCAGACGTTGGGGCGACCTTCTGCTACACGCGAAGCAGTGCTTCTCGAACCCATCGCAGGGAGTGGTTGGATTATCACGTTTGCCAACAACAGAGATGTGGGACGCTATGGAATCTGGTGTTGCATAACATTCGGTAGGCAGGCTATTGCGGCTTCAATATGTTCCCTCCTGTACCTCCTCTTCCTTCGCACTTTGCGCAATTCAACACATAGGGTCGTGATGTGACAGTGTTTCGCCATTGGCTGCGACCTGGTGCCCACTTGCAGTGCCCCCGCGGCACCTCGATTGCAGGCCGCTTGTCCGATTGTCCCACTACCACCCGCCCGAGTCAAGTTGTCACAGGTCAGGTCACACTTGAATCCGAGGATGTGCATTGCATGCGAGAAGTTGCTGAGCAAACGGCGTAATGTACTGGTGGAGGCTCAAACGTTGGAGCAATAAACGCAGTGACGTAAATGCGTATAGGGTCATAATCATGGGGTAGGTGCACCACGTTGGTTGACCAAATATTGATGAGCGGGGCATCTTGCATAGGGCATGGTTGAAGTTGAAGCCTAAGGCAAGGCGATAAAGGAGCTCTTGGATTGTAAACGTGCAGATTGAGGAACAGCAGAAGTTTGGCCGAACTTTTGGCCTGGGGTGAGGCTTGAACGTTCGCAGGATTGCGAAACCCGGTGAATGCAGTTACCATTGTCAGGTTCAGCCACAGGAAGGCCCAAGCATCCCCATTCCAAGGGTCGTTGGGTTGGTCTTCGCGCCTCTGATCCGATCATGCCCCGTGGCCAGGGGCCACCGCAGGCCGTGCCGCGCGTTGCTCAGGCAATGCTGCTGTTCCGGTCCTCGTTCTGGCGGGATCACGTGCAGCGAGTTTCTGTCCGAGTGGCCACCTTCGTGCAGTGCGGGTGTCCGATGGCGCCAGTGGCCGCGCAGCTGAGGTTCCAGATCCATGCTGGCAGAGGTTGGCCACATCTCGGGAGGGCACGAGGAGCTCAATACATTCGCACGGGGACTGCGCGCATAATTTCCCACCCGTGATTTTCGACTGTTGGTGACAGGGCTCGCGAACAAGTTATGGAGGAACTGCTCTGTGTCCTTGGTGGGCTCGTGCGCCCGCACTTTCCAGTTCCCGCCGGAAGAGACGCAAACGGCGCCAAGACGAGTTGACAAGATCCCGAAAATAGTTAAACTCTCACCCGCAGGCGCTGTTCGCATTCCATTCGTCCTCCATCTCATTGCCGATTTGGCCCAGGTACCACGTGCAGCTGACCGATATTGAATTCGTCTATTTGTCATCGGCCCGGCATTATTTCCAACGGATCAGTGGTATGTTGGTTATCGTATTTTTTGATCTCCATCGAAAGCAGGGGCAGAGACAGAACATTGCCGAGACCAGCCAAAGACTTCTCGAACGCCACCCAAGAGGCGCCAGCAGGGGCCGAAGAGGGCCCCGAGAAGGACCCAACACAAAGCCACGAAGGGCCCGATGCGGCCCAGGGAAGCCTCTGAACGATTGGAACCCAAGTTGGGCCAGGAACCGTCCAAAATTGGCAATGGAACGCGCCAGAAAACGTCGTCAGTATTGAGAATTTCCCAATGCGAGCCTGGCAATTAGCTATACGAGACGCCCGTGCGACCCCCAGAGACGCCCAGGCGGGGCTGTAAGAGGCGCCTTCTCGTCCCCTCTCGCGTCCCCCCGCTGAGTGGGGGTGGGGAGGTGTTGGAAGAGGTCGCGGGAGAGCAGCAGGAGGAGAAGGATCTTACGAGTTGGCCAGGGGGGAACCTGCGCAGGATGAGGTGTCAAGCCAGCTGGGTCGAACGAGATGGCGGGCCCCCTTCGCTCCCCCCCCTCCCCCCGTAGCAGAAGAACCACTGGTGGCACGAATTGAGGCCGGGACTGGCGCGCGTTCCCATACGGCGGACGGACAGAATGTACGACTCGTGTCCCGCTGCGGACGGCTTGGCGACGTGGGCGAAGCACGAGCCGCACAAGGGGCCCGAGCGGAACTTCCCGAAAATCCCTGCGCGGCGCTGCGGCGAGAGCCGCATTCAGCCCTCTATCGCGCTGCCAGGCTTCCGATGAGAGCGGCGGCGCTGCCCAAGCAGCGCTGCCGCGTTCGGTCAAAGTCTGCGCGGCACCTGGGCGAGGAGCCATGGTTCGCCCACCCTCGCGCGGCCCCACTGCCACTTCCCCGCGGCACGGCGAGCGAACACCATGCTTCCGCGACGGGGGCGGGGCCCGGCGCAGTCTGTCCGGGGCCCGGGCGGGGCCGACCTTCGGCCTCCGCGCACGCGGCGCCGCCCCCGAACGACCTGGCGCGAGGAGGGGCCCGCTCCCCGCCCGCGGTGCGGGAGCGCCGCTCTCCGGGAACGCCTGCGCCTCGGCCGAGGCGAGGCGACGGCGCCATTATGGCGCCCGCGCGCACGCGCAACCCCGCCGAGGGCAGAACAATTGGCTAGAAGGCACAACAATTGGCTCGTTCTGCAGCGCCGGGGAGCGCGGGGCCCAAGCGAGTGTTGCAGCGTCCGCTCTCGCGCGCGCGAGGTGCGCCCCGGCCCCACTGACGTCACGCAGCTGGCAGCGTCGACGGCGCAAGCGTCCATGTGGAAAGAGCAGTGCAGAAGGCTTGTATTTCTTTTTGCCAGTGTGATGGGGCACCCGGGATCTCAGGCCCGTGGAGATCAAGACACTGATAAACCAGGACACGGAAATCCAAGGAAACGGAACGTTTTCCTGCAAAGTCACATTTTCCAGCACCCGTGCATGTTTTGCCTGCTGCACTGCAGGATTCGGATTTGTGTCCAGGGTTAGGGGGGTCCTGTAGGCTTTTAAGGCTTGTGTCCAGGTTCATTTTGGAGATGCTGCAGTGCAGTATGTTGTTCGCGCTGCCGTCTGGCAACATTGCTTTCGAGGGATGTGGGGTGTCCAGGTCTAGCGTGTCTGGGTTTACGGGGCCCTGCGGATCTACAGGCCATTTGCCAGCTAGGTGGCAAAGTGTGGGCACGCCTGATAGAATTTTTTTGTCAATAAAAAAAGCCAGGGGGTGGAGCAAGATGCGCGGAGAGACAGCGGAGGACGGAGGGCGAAGGGGAGCCAAGCACGAGGCGGGCAGGGAGGAAGAGTCCACATGTTCTGTTCACGAGAGCCGCACAACTTGCCCGTGGGGCCTCTGCTATGACGGACGAGTCACGGCGCCACCTCTTCAAGTACGCCCATCAGAACCCCCACAGAGCAAACCAATCAAACTGAGCCCCAGTTTCCAGACTGTTAGCCGGAGGCGGAGGAGGAAGAGGAAGAGGAGGAAGAGGAGGAGGAGGAAGAGGAGGAGCTCAGGATGAGGAGGAGCAGTGGGCGGAGGCGATGCAGGAAAAGGACGCCAGGTAGGTGGACGCCAGGAGGACGGCGGGGACGAGGAGGCTTGGCGGTCGTCGCCCCCGCCTCCCCCGAGCGAGCGCGCGCAGTCGAGGCCGCCGGCGGGGCAGAGGGCGACGAGCGCGCTGCGCCTGCAGGCCGAAGAGGCGAGAGGGTAGGGGGGAGGGGAGCCATCCTCCATCCCTCGGGGCCAGGTGCAGGTCCATTACATCCGAGACAGGGACTACCGAAGTGGCTACGGAAAGAATGGACACAAAGACCGACGGTATTTCCTGCTCAGTTTGACCAGGACTCGCTGCCGGTGTCGCCGCGGACTTCCATTTGAGAAAGAAGGCCGCCTGTCCAACAGCGGCTGCTGTTGGCATCGGACTACATTTGGAGGTCGTACCCGTTTTCTCCGTACCCATTTCGGGGGTCCAAACAAGAGGTTTATGGCATTCTGCCACCCATACCCTCAATGTGACAAGAATGGAAGCATGCTGTTCAAGGGTTATGGCATGCACTGCGTGTCTCAGTACCAATGTACTACATGTGTCATCGGCGGAGGGCTGGCAATGTCAGTTCGAGTTGCCTCTCTTGACTCCCCCCTCGGGGCCAGTGACATGTCAGCTACACATGCAACCACTCCTTGGCACAGGACGGCCCAAACACAGTATACATAGATGCGTGTTCAACACCTGTGGCCCAGAGGACGGGCTGAAACATCATGCCCTAAGCGTTGTCAGGTGGCGTGTCTGCGAAGTTCCATGGGACAGGGCCCAGAGACCTTAGTGTAGTTCTCAATCCCGCCCACCCATGGCCTCGCCTAGTACCAGACCCACCCTGAAGGTCAGCATTCAGGGGGGGGGGATCGGCGTTGGGTGCGACGCGCCGACCCCCAATCGCACACTGCTCGCCGATAAGTGGTCTGAGAGCCACCCCGCTCAGGCACGTGCGGATTCCCTATCGGGTGCCGATCGCCGATCTGCGGGCGAGGTATCGACGGTTCCAGGGTCCCATGCTCGCCCCCTGTCGCTGCCCCTCGCCTCTTCCTGCTGCCTCCTCTCTCCACCCGCTGCTCCTCCAGATGGCACGCCACTGTCTGACCACCAGACCTCTCGGTAGGGCGGGCCCGGCGTTTGGCTTCCGATTTTTTGATGATCCCGAATCCAGAAAATCCCAACAGTTACAAAGATGGAAGGCGGGCCGCATCCAGAATGGGGCTCTCGCCTCCGCGCCGCGCGCCGGTCGCGCTTTTGCATCGCGCGTGTTCGAGTTAAACGTGCGCAGCCGCTGCAGTCACTGAAGGCGGCTCCTTTTCAAAGTGGGGCGTTTCGCCTCCGTGTCGCGACCAGTCGTCTTCACGGCTCCCCACGGCTCGAGCGATAGAGGACGCATCCTCTTCAAGTGGGGGGCTCGCTCGAGCTTTCCCCCAATGCAGCGCCCCGAAGCTCGAGGAGACGTCGGGCCAGACGAAAGGAGGGGCGATTGTGAAAACCCATGCCCAGAAGCACCCTGCTTGCCTCGAGGGTGCCCTGGGCGTCTCGGGTTCCGATGGTTCCGCGGTGGCAAGCGCGCGCCGTTCCCACGCCAAAACTCGGTGGGCTTCCTGGGGTCTCAGGGTTGGGTTGCTTGTGGAGGGTGTCTTGTGGTCATAGCATAGCATAGCACAGCATATCATATCATACCATATCATATAATAGCATAGCATATCATAGCATAGCATATCATATCATATCATAGTATAGCATATCATAGCACAGCATAGCATGGCATAGCATCGCATATCCTATCACAGCATAGCAGAACAATCAATAACATAGCATAGCATAGCATAACATAGCATATCATAGCATAGCAGAGCAGAGCAGAGCAGAGCATAGCATAACATAGCATATAATAGCATAGCATAGCTTAGTTTTTGGGCGCAAGATCCCCTGAGCTGTGATATATGCGCATGCGTAGCCGTTTGGGCCCAGAGCGCTCAGCGAGCGAGGCCACTTGCAGGTTTCGCAAAATCCTGCAGGGCCAATTCATTGCGAAGTTGAAAAACATTCTATTCATCACATCGTCTTTGGTACACCACAACATTTCAGAAGAATGGGCGACTTCGCACCTGGTGATGGTCCCTCTGCGGGGGAGCCAGGAGGTGGCAGCGCAGGCGCAGCTGCTTCTGGACACCGGGGTGAAAGAGGCAGACGGGCACTACTACATCCTAGTGTTCAACCTCGTCCTGGTCTCGGAGATGCTGCGCAACCTCGTGAACTTCGAGGAAGGAGCCGCAGTCCGCGGGGCAGTGACGATGGAGAGGATGACCACCTCTCGCAGGCAAGGACGCGGACGTACAGTCCAAGAGCACATAAAGATATAAGAGCCATGGTCGAAGAGAAGCTTGGAAACTACACCACATTGGAATTGCGGAAATGCATCAAGAAAGCAGCTACGGAGCTGAGCGCCAAGATTGGATGTCTTCAAAACACCATGGCCACCATCGAGCATCTACAATCAGTCATTGCAGCGCTGAGTACAGATGGTGGTGACATTCCATCCAATTTGGGCTTGCGGAAAGTTCCACTATCGTTCGAGACGCCGGTTCTGGACGATTCGAAAGTACAGGAAGAAATCAAGCGTGAATGCACAATTCAGCCCGGAACCACGCTGCGAGAGGCAAAAGAAATCGTGCATAAAAAGCAGTTGGGGGCACAAAAGAGATTGGACCTGTTTGGTATTGAAGCGCCAGCAAGAGCTGCTTCGTATAACCACCAAAAAGAGCACGCTCGTGGAAAAGATCTTGGTTGCCAATCGTTCTCAACCGTCCGCTTGGGATGCGCTGGGGCTTGACCTTGACGAAGAAGACAAGGCAATGGCCCAGACAAGCACCGATGACCTCAAGGCGAGGGCGGCTGTGATCTACAAGAAAATAATGAACAAAGCAGCGGGGGAGAAAATGGCAAAGCAAAGAACGTCCAGCTTGAGGGATGAGGTCCGTGAGAAGATGGTCAAGGAACTTTCGGCTTTTCTCCCCAGCAGTACGTGGACTTCACGGTTGAAAAACTTATCGAACAAAAAAACATATGTCCAGCCAGCATCGGCAGCGTGTGGAGAAAACGTCGGAATTCCACAACGTGTACACGTTGGAGCAGAAATCTGGATACGATGCGAATCCTTCAGCTTACTTCCACGACGCGGTGACTTCGATAGTAACTGATACTGACATCAAGAATGCCTTGACAAAAACACGGTTTGCGCCAGCCCTCGAAGGGCAAGGGGGTTGGCAAAGGAAAAAGCAAAGGCAAAGGCAAGGACAACAAAGGAAAGGGCAGAGACTTTCCTAACGAAGCTGGCAATCCCAAGGGGCAGGACAAAGGCAAAGCAAAAGGGAAAGCAAAGACTGGCGCTGGGAAGCCGAGCGGACCCCAGAAATGCAAGGGCAAAGGCAACGAGCGTTACGACAAGAGTTGGAAAGGTTCCAAAGGCGGAAAGACAGGATCAAACACTGGGAAAGGAAAAGGAAGAGCCGCTTCTTCAGGTTGAAGACAGAATCTGTTTCCGAGATCTCGACCGTCATGTTAGACGTGGTGTTGTAGAAGGGCGTGCGGTGGCACCACACTGGATTTTTTGATTTCCGCGTGCATGTGAAGCCCACGTCCCTCTACACCCCTCTCCTCTGTTCCAGTGCTCATCCCACGCACGTGCATGCAGCGTGGCCTAAAAGCATGGTCAGGCGTTTTACATAACTGTGCAGCAACGCTCGCATTGCACGGAAGATGGTGCAGTCTTTTCCGCGGCAGTACGTTTCAACCAACGGTAGTTTGCCCAGCCCCAGCAATGTCAGAACGGTACGTACCCCGAGCGACCAGGTGCAGTCTTTTTTAGTCCTCCCTAACCACGGCGAATGGGAATTCGCCCGGTTCCAAAGGGTGGTGAATCTTTGCAGGGATGTGGGGGTGAGAGTGCGGTTTTCGTTGAATTCAGCTCCAGACATCTCCTGCACCGTCTTGTAGACGTCGACAGGTCCGAGGCCAATACGGTTCTGGACGTGTTTCAATAAGCGACTTAACGGTTGGTAGGTTGGGGTAGGTGGCGGTTTCGTAGCTTAGCTTTTGGGCGCAAGAGCCCATCAGGGAGCAAATTGTACAAATCTGTCGTAACAGTCTGGTCCCCCTGAGCTGTGATATATGCGCATGCGTAGCCGTTTGGGCCCAGAGCGCTCAGCGAGCGAGGCCACTTGCAGGTTTCGCAAAGTCCTGCAGGGCCAATTCATTGCGAAGTTGGACAACATTCTATTCATCACATCGTCGTTGCCCCTCGCCTCTTCCTGCTGCCTCATCTCTCCACCCGCTGCTCTTCTAGATGACGCGCCACTGTCTGACCGCCAGACCTTTCGGTAGGGCGGGCCCGGCGTTTGGCTTCCGATTTTTGTGTATGATCCCGAATCTAGAAAATCCCAACAGTTACAAAGATGGAAGGCGGGCCGCATCCAGAATGGGGCTCTCGCCTCCGCGCCGCGCGCCGGTCGCGCTTTTGCATCGCGCGAGTTCGAGTTAAACGTGCGCAGCCGCTGCAGTCACTGAAGGCGGCTCCTTTTCAAAGTGGGGCGTTTCGCCTCCGTGTCGCGACCATTCGTCTTCACGGCTCCCCACGGCTCGAGCGATAGAGGACGCATCCTCTTCAAGTGGGGGGCTCGCTCGAGCTTTCCCCCAATGCAACGCCCCGAAGCTCGAGGAGACGTCGGGCCGGACGAAAGGAGGGGTGATTGTGAAAACCCATGCCCAAAAACACCCTGCTTGCCTCCAGGGTGCCCTGGGCGTCTCGGGTTCCGATGGTTCTGCGGTGGCAAGCGCGCGCCGTTCCCACGCCAAAACTCGGTGGGCTTCCTGGGGTCTCAGGGTTGGGTTGCTTGTGGAGGGTGTCTTGTGGTCGAGCTCGCACTGCAGGGCAAGGTGGCTTTCAGGACAGCTGCTGCGTGCCGCCGGTGTCGGTCCCGCCTCCCGGGGCGTCGATGTCTTCGACACGTTGGCGCCTCCCCCGAAGGCGGGAGGTGCGCCGGGGAAGCCAGCCGCACGAGTTGATTCGCTGACCCCCCGCTCCTAGACCCGAATTTCGAAGGACAATCAAGCAGTGGCCAAGCGTCCTGGCTCGCCTAAAGGCCCACCGAGGAATGTTCTAAGAACCTGATGTGGTTTGCACGAAATGTGCATGGAACCTTCCTGCCTGGGGCTGTATTGTTTAACACATCGGGTCTCTGTTCTAAGAACATGTTTCTGTTATTCGACCACTTCTGGGTTCTAAGACTATTTCGTGGTAGGCATATAGGAATACCGGGACGGCCGGCCCCTGCTCAAAACAAACGGCACAAACATATTTGGTTGGCGCTTTTCGCGGAGCGCAGAAAGTTAATGTTTATGCAGTTGTTTTTTTTCCTATTCTTCGGTGGCAAGCTATGGGAGTCTTGGGTACCGTGTCGGTCCCGTCTCCAGCGTCGACCAACGTCGAGTAGCGCCGGGGAAGCCAGCCACGCGAGTGGACGCGCTGACCCTTTGTTCCTGGCCCCTACTTCCCTCGGCTGCGAGCGATGGGGAAAAACTGAGAATGAGAAGGCCTTCTCGGAATGCGGCGGGTCTTCTCAGACACCTTCGTGCCTGCTCAGAAGTGTGTTGCGTCTCCGGGGGAGTCTCAGAAAACTTCTCAGAAGGCTCGGGGGACTTCCGAGCCTTCTGAGAAGGCCTTCTCCTTCTCACTTCCCCCCCTTGCTCGCCGCCAGTTTTACGTGCCGTTTCGGTTCCGTCTCTGGCGTCGACCAGCGTCGAGTAGCGTGTGGCAGTCGATGAGATAGCGCCGATTCAGCGTCGACTGGCGTCGGCCAGCGTCGATCAGTCGCCGATCACCGTCTACTGGCGTCGACTAGCGTCGGTTACCGTCGACCAACAAGATGGCATGGGAGATTCCCATGAGCTGCCACCGAGCCCGCTCATCCGACCTGAACTTGCAAGTGCTGAGCGGATGGAGGCTGGTTCTTGCCGACATGCGGGTGCTCTCTCGAGGTTTCCTCGAAGATAATTGCCTCGGAGTTTGGACCTGTGCAGCAGTTCAGTGCGCAGATGGGGGCGGTCGTTTTCGAAAACGGGGATATCGTTTGGCATTTGGCTGGACTGTGCCGTCACATGCCTCTTCTTTTGTCTTTATCGCTCGCTGGAAAGCTGCAAGGAGAGCTCCTTTGTAGAACGCGGCCCTCGCCTGGATGGCAGGCGGGCCCATGGGGCGCTGATCTTGTAATGGGGGTGTTTTTGTTTGGCAACGGCAAGGGAGGCTTATAGGGATTTTTGAGGAAAGGACTTGAAACGCGAGGGTGTGCAGCATCGTTGACGGATATTGGCTTTACAGGCGGCCCAGATTAGTAGGTCGACCCTGCCAGATCAAGGGTACCTTTGTGTCCAGTGCCTCGCGACACGTGCCTTCTTACATTCCTATGGCGATGTGGCCTTCGGAAGGGTCTTGTGTCATCTTTCGTGTCCTCTCCAATCAAATCCGACCGTACTCTGGCCCTCCCCCGTTCTTATCCTCCTCCTCCTCCTTCTCCTCCTCCTCCTCCCCCTCCTCCTCCTCCTCCTCCTCCTCCTCCTCCTCCTCTCTGCCCTCCCCCCTCCTCATCCTGCCTGTTCTCCTCACCTCCCCTCTTCCCTCCCTCCTGCTGTTTGCAGAGAACTAGGAGGAATCGCAGGAAGCGTTCGCAGGCGAGGTAGTAGGCTTCGGAGGAGAGGGATGAGGAGAGTGGGACGAGGATCATGGAGATAAGGCGGAGGGAGCAGGATCATCAGCAGCAGGGGGAGCATGACGATTGTGATGTTGAGGGATAGGAGGGGACGGAGGAATAGGAGGAGGAGGAGGAGGCGGGAGGAATATCCGTAGCAGCATAAGGCGGTAGAACCAGCCAGAAGAGGGAGGAGGAGGAGCTAGAGGAGGAGGAGGAGGAGGAGGAGGAGGAGGAGGAGGAGAAAGAGGAGGGAAGAGGAGAAAGAGGAGATGGGACATCAGCATCAGCATCGGCATCAGGATGCAAGGGCCGCAGGACGGAAGAGATTGCGCGTACGCGGCGCCCGCTGCCCCGGCCGCGGTCAGGGGCCGAGCCCGGCGCCAAGCCGGACTGGGACGGCCTCTTGCAGCTGCTGCAGATGCTGCAAGAGGGGAAGTTCCAGGAACCCGTTCCTCGGATGTTCGTTCCGGGGACCTCTCTGGGGCCCACCTATCTCGGCCTCCCAGGTGGGGTCCGAGCAGATGGGGTCGGGGGATCGGCCCGCATCGCCGCTGCATCGCCGATGCGACCGGATGTGGAGCCCAGTTCTGTCACGCCAGCGTCGCGGACGCCTTGCCGACGTCGCCAATGCATCGCCGATGCATCGCCGATGCATCGGCGATGCGGTGCAAGACTCTGACCCACCCCATCTACTTGGACCCCCTCTACGTATAGGAGGCCTCTAATCTAGCTGGCATGCTCGACTCCAGTCCGACTGAAGCTCGACTCAAGCTCGGGACAAGTCTGCGGGTGTTCGGCGCAGCATCAGCCCATCTGCCACGAGTGGAGCGAGTGGTTCCTGGAGTGCCCCCAGATCGAGCATCGAGCCTCCTCCTCCGAGGGTGCACTCGGAGTCAAGCAGTGGCGAAGCGTCCTGGCTCGCCTATAGCCCTACCAAACAATGTTCTAAGCACCTGTTGCGGTTTTCACGACATGTTCTTAGAACATTTCTGGTTGATGCTGTCTTGTTTTAACACATCGTGTTCAAGTTCTAATAACATTGTTTGTGTTATTCGAACATTTTTGGGATTCTAAGAACATGTCGTGGTAGGACTCTAGGAGTGCCGGGACGGTCGGTCCCTGCCCAACTACAGAACCCCTGCCTTGCAAGGCCGATTGGCGAATCGCGTCTGTGCGATTCTCGAGGAGGGACTTACGGCCGCATTTTTTGTTGCGGGGGTCTGCGCCCGCCCAGTCTGTCCTCCCGCGTTCTCTCGGTCAAAGAGCGCGGTGCTAAAGGGGTATCGGTCTACACATTGTTCATGTCTAACTCTTCGTAGGTTCTTTGGGTCTTTGCGGGGCCAAGATCCTTTCATTTCTAATCGTTCTGTCCTGGGCCTCTTCCTTGCCACTAGGGGGCCAGGAACAATAAGAAACGAGCACAATTAGAAATGAGCGCGATTAAAACAATGAGCGACGTGTACCCCCGAGGCAGGAAGTAACCACGCCGCTGCCCGTCCCTCGGTTCCGCTGTCTGGGGTGTCCCAGGGGGGCCTTTTTTTCTGGGCCCCGGCCGGATTGGCTTCGATACCTTCTTCGGGACGCGCACCCGAGGAGGTGTCTGCCCTAAAAACTGTAATCCTGCTTTTGTGCCCCACGTGGGCCCGGTGCAGATTCGACGCGCGTTCGACGTGGATTCGATGCGCATCCGGCGCGGATTCGACAAGTTCGACATGTTTCCGACGCGGGCTCGGCGCGGATAGCGGCGCGATGGGACAGACGAGGTCCCTCGCAGATGCATCATAACGTCGACGCAGTCGCAGCCGCCGTCGGCATCGTCGTCGCCGCCATGCCTGGCTCCGCCGCCGCCGCAGCTGCCGCGGACCAGCGGTGGAACACCACAGCCTCGAGTAGAGCATGCGTAACCGCATGATGCAATTATCGACCCCCTGGTGCGATCGTTAGCACATCCGAAATTAATTAAGTGTAAGAAAGGAAGCGACCGAACGATGCCGTCAACACTGGCAGAATGAAACATTGAGGGGCGGGAGAAAAACAGATTTCCCAGAATCTACCAAGAATCCTTCTGGATTTTTCCAGGAACTACAGAATTGCAGGGAATTTGAGGGGACCCAAAGGAATTCTTGAGGGCATCTCGAGGAACTTTCAGGACTCCCCACGACCCCCAGGAGCAGGCAGCAATCCTGCAGGAGTTCCCAGGACTCCTCAATCAGGAGTCCTTCGGGACCCTTCAGCAATCCTTTGTGGAATTTGCTGCAATGTTGAGGGATCGTTTGGAACCCAGAGAAACCCGACGGATGTTTCCAGGAACCCAAGGAGTCCTGCAGGAATTTCCAATGGTCCTTCAGCAGCTGCACGGAAGGAGGGCTGGTCCTTCGCAAGGTGTACTTCTCGCCTCCGTCGCGCACATTCCTTTTTAGGCGTTTGCGAGGGGTTTGCGGATGGAGGGCGGGTTCATTTCAAACTGCGTCTCTCGCCTTAGCGCCGCGGGAGTCCCAGGGAACTCTCGAGAAACCATTGGGCAGCGCGTTGGGGTCTTCATCATTCCCAAGGACTTGCTGGAAGATGCGGGGGTATAGCCGGAGTTTTCTCCTCGCACCCCTCACCCCTTCCGCTCCAGGAGCCGCCTTGGGCCCAACACAATTCAGCAGTGGTGCCTTCGGGCGCGTAGGCTTTCAGACATCCCAGCCCTCATACACACCGTCAGGATGTCGCGCCAGGCGCTCCTCCTCGTGAGCGCCGTTGAAGCGGGCCTCAGCATCGCCATGACGCCGAGGCCCGGCCTTCCTTGGAAGACCCACCTGGCGTCCGAGACTTCCAGAATTGTCAGCATCGCGGACCTGCTTTTCCAGGGTTGCGAGAAGATTGAGGACGTGAGGGGGCTGGGAAAAACCATATTCAGGAATCTCTCGGTGCTCCTGGCATAGCGCCAGTTGAGACGATCAGACAGCGCTTTGCGGTTCGCGAGAGCTGGGCCCTCGAGACGGATGAACTGAAGTGGAGCGGGCTGTGGGCCCGATAATTCCGCATGAGGCATCACAGAAGGAAATGGCATCGCTGCCGCTGCCGTTCCATCGCCGCCGCGGCCGGGTTCGCCCCGAACTCATCATCGCAGCGCGCCCTGGGAGGGGGCCGCGGAACACGGGCATCACCATGTCTCCATCGGTCGTTCAAGGCGCGACCCTGTCCGCAGCGGAGGTCAGGGCTGATATTCCGGACGCGTTCCGCCAGGTGGTCGCGGCCGCGCGGAGGCGAGCGAGGTCCATCCACAGGCGCCTGTCCGCGATCCACTGGGACTCCAGCTGGTTCGCCCCTGACGAGAAGGTTGAGCGCGCGGGCTTCGCCCCGTTTCGCTGAGGCCAGGGGCCCCTGACAGATGATGCTGAGGCGAGCGCGGCGCTCGGGCCCCCCCCGCGCTCCTGCGGTCAGAATTTGTTTTCGGATGCGAGTCTTACTTGCGATTTCCGCGCTGCCACCCTCTGATGAGGAAATACAGGTCGCGCGCGTCATCCGGAACTCGGTCGGCCACCGCCAGGGGTTGATATTGGGTTTCATCGCTAACGCGGACAGCAAAATATTGCGGACGTCGCAGAGTTCAACAGCGCCCACAGGCATCCTCTGGCTTTCCGCGGAATCCCCAGGATCCCCACGGAGAGTTCGACGAGGTCGGCCTCTTCTGGCTTCCCCGGAAGCCTCCGCCCCGCCGCCGGTGCAACACATCACGGTGTTCTCTTCGCCAACACCCACGACACTTGACGGTGAGCCCCCCCCGCGGCACTGAAGGACCCCCCAGTTATACCGATATCGCCCCTCCGCCCACTCCGCATTCCGAAAGTCCTATGCCGAGGGGTCGGGGGCGCGCTGGGGGGGTCGGGGGGCGAGGGGGCGGAGGCGGGGGGTATCTCGGCGCGCGGGGGCCGTGAAGGTTCGGCTTATTCTGTTCGGGCGCAACGTTGAATTGCTCGCAGGGCTAGTTGATTGCGCGAGCACATTTTGTTCGATTCGTTCGGGGCATTAATGCGGGGCCGCATAGATCCCGCGGCGAACAAAATACGGGCGCGCGCCATGACATCGCGCGTGATGCCACAACGTGATGTCGCGCGTTGTGGCACAGCGTTTTTGTTTTTTTTTTTTTTTTTTTTTTTTTGTTCTCTTTTTTTTTCTCTTTTTTTTAAAAAAAAATAATATATATATATATATATATATATATATATACCTGCATATATACACATATCACCACATATATGTACATATATATAGACCCATGTAAACACATGGGATGAAGATGCGCGAGCAAGAGCAATGCGGAAAAACCAGCGGGGGCAGCTGAGCGGAAGCATCCACTGCTGTTGCAGCTGCCCTGGTGGCCCGATCAAGCAATTGTATATGGCTGCCCACGTCGCGCATCTCATTGCGCGCGCTCTTGCATGCGCTGCGCGAGAAGACGGGCTGGTCGACCTAGTTGCGATGGCTGATTGGTGGAAACGATTGGTTTCGCCCCCATCCTGCGGCCCAAACGCGGGGGCGCAACGCATTGCGCATCCCATGGTTTCCGCGCGCTCTCGCGCGCGCGATGCGGGAAACATTGGCAGCGGCCATCATGAGAAAGTGGGAGGCGAAGACCACGCGGGCCATCCGTAGTCAGAGGGCCTCGCCATGACGTGGCGCGCTGCGCCGCGGCGCGCCCTCCTCATCGCTCGCGCGCGCGCCAGCAGTGCAGCAGCTGCGGGGTCTGGCCATTTCACGTTCAACCATGCAACGGCGAGAAACAGCATGTGCAATTTGTATCCTGGGGGCCCCAGCGCGGAATAACGCATCGCGTCGCCATGGGCGCCAAGCGCGAAATTCGAGCGCGTGGAGCGCAGGAAACTTGCATCGAAAACCTGATGGCGAAAACTAATTGTGTCACTCGTAATCTGGGGGCATCTACGCGGACAAATCCATGGCGACGCCATCGGCTGCCCGCGTTGCCGGGGCGCGCGCTCCTGAGTGCGCAATATGAAAGCAAACGCTGAATGGCCATCTTCACTTCGAAGGCTGAATAGTGGAAACCAACTGATTCACTTGAGTGCGGAGGGTCTCGGCGCGGGCCAATGCGGCGCGACGCCGCGCGCTGCCCCCGCCGCCCGCGCGCGCGCCCCCGCGCGCGAGGTGCAACATCGAGAGCAGCGGTTCTCTCAGACCCGGAGAAATTTGCATTCGCACTATGAGGGCCTCAGCGTGGAATGCTGCATTGCGACGCAGCGCGCGCTCTTCAAGTCCCGCGAGCGCATGGCAAGAACCAATGCAGAGCGGCCGTCTTAATTGTGAAACATGGCCGGCGAGAACCGATCATTTGACTCGCGTTCCGCGACGCGGCGCGGCCCCCCACCGCGCGCGCGCGCTCGCGCGCGCGCGAGCTGTGGTCGCGGCGCGTTGCGTCGCCATGCATAATTCCATGAATCTGGGTTCATCATCGCGCGGACAGCCCGCGTCAACCGTTCACTCGTCGAAGTTGCGACGGCCGTGCCCTGCGAGCGCCAGCGAGCCGCGCGGGGGCCCCGGCGCATATGAAAGCGGACCGCGCCGCAGCGCGTCTTCCAACGGCTGGGCCCGCAACGCGCGAGCGGAAACATGGCATTCGCCACTTCGCTCGCGGAGTGCGGGCGGCCCGGCGCTCTCGGTTCTGGCGTTGCGCGCGCGAGGGCGCGCGCGAGCAACGCGGGAAGCGCGCGGCGCAAGGGCGCCCGATTTCACGTTGAGGCCTTCGGAGACAGAGCTGCGCAGTCCGTCGCGGCCAATCAGTTCCGGATGGTCGGACAGTCGTTCCCCGCTTTAACTCCATTGCGCGCGAGCGCGCCCGCGCGCGTGCAACGCGGGAAGCGCGCGGCGTCGCATTGCGTCGGTTTCTAGTTGATGCCCTCGGGGATCGCGCGAGACTATAGGTTTCCGTCGGTCTTTTTTTCTCCGAAGTCCAGGCGGCCATTCTCTCTGGGCGCGCGCGGCGCATTCGGGGGCGCGCGAGCGCGGGCGATCGGTCGGCGCGGCGCGCGCGTTGTTGCGCAGTGCATTTTTTGTTTTTGGGCCCCCAGGTTTCGAGCGAACCAGTTGCGTTTTACCATTCCGAGTTCAGAATTGCGACGGCTACAGTTCATCGCTCTCGCATTGCGCGCGCGGGCGCTCGCGGGCAACGAGGGGCGCGCCTTGCGCCGCAGTGCAACGCGTCGCGCTGGGGCCCGTGTAGCGCGAGTGGGTCAATGTGCGTTCGCCATTAAGTCGCTGAACTTAAGATGGGCATTCTCGATCGGTTTTGCACGGCGCGCGCGCGTGCGCAACGGAACGGGCACGGGGCCAAGGCGCGTCATTCCGCGCTTGGGCCCCCGACGAGTGCGGAGAAGATCCGCCCTCCATCGGCGGAGCGGTCGCGCGCTTTCAAGACGGACGCGCGCGGCGCTCACGCGGGAGCCACAGTCTGACAAGGGCTTGCCCCCCAGCCGCGAAGCAGTCGCAAACGCGCCGGGCGAGCGCGCAGAATTGGCGCGAGGGCCGCATTTTCAAAAGGGCCCGCCTCCCGCCCGCGAGCCCCGCGATAGCGTTCCAGGCGAGCGCGCGCGGCGCCGAGGCGAGGAAAGCAGCGCGAGGAGGATCCGCCCTTCGCGCGCGAAGCTCTGCCACATGCGCGAGACGAGCGCGCGCCGCTGAGGCGAAAAGCACGCGTTGAGACGCGGCCCGCCCTCCGCCCGCGAAGCTGTTGCAAGGCTTCAAGGCGGCGCCGTGGCCGCCGCGGCGATGGGTCGCAATCTGAAAACACCAGAAGTTCGCCCTCCCGCTGCGAAGCTGCCGCATATTTTCAGGGGCGCGCGCGGCGCCGCGGCGGGGCCCGCATTTCGAGGGGGGCCCGCCCTCCATCCGCGCTGGCGAACGCGCGCGGCGAGGAGGCGACGGGGCGCAGTCGGAAACAAAGGCCCGCCCTCAATCCACGGAGGCGTTGCAGGCGTTCCAGGCGAATCCCCGCGACGCTAGAGCGAGGGGCGCATCTGGATTAGGACCCGCCCTCCATCCGCGAAGCGCTCGCGCACTTGACAGGCGAGCGCGAGCAGCGCTAAGGCGAGGGGCGCGCGTTGAAAAGGGCCCGCCCTCCAACTTTGAATGCGTTGCAGACTTTTCAGCGACGGATCATCGGAGCGCCGAGGTGAGAGGCGCGCTTTGGAGCGGGCGCGCCCTCCGTCGGCGCTGCCGACTTCCAAGTCAAACGCGCGCGACGCCAGGGCGAGAGGCGCGCGTTGAAAGCCGCCGCCATCCATCCGTGAAGCTCCTGCCACATCTTAGGGCGAATACGCCCTGAGCTGAAGCGGGGGGGCACAGTTCGACGCGCGCCTGCCATCCATCCGCGAGGCGGTTGCAACATTATGATGCGAATGCGCGCGGCGCTGAGGTGAAAGGCGCATTTTGACAAGCGCCCGCCCTCCATGCGCGAGGCTTTCGCGATCTTTAATGCGAATGTTCTCGGCGCGCGAAGGCGAGAGTGCGCGGCGCTGTGGCGAACGAGTATGCGCGGCGCTACTACGAGAGCCCCATTCTGAAAAGGGCCTGCCCTCCATCCGCGAAATTGTTGCAAGTTTTTCGGCGACTGCGTTCGGCGCTGCGGCGACAAACACATTTTGAAAAGGACCCACAGTCCATCCGTAAAGCTGTTGCAGAATGTCAAACGATTGCGCGCGACGCGGAATGCGAGAGGCGCAGTTTGAAAAGGACCCGCCCTTCATCATCGAAGCTGTTGCCAGTGTTTAAGACAAATGTGCCCGGCGCCGAGGCGAGAGCCCCATTGTGGAGTTCCGGGTGGTCGGGGCCTGGGGGTATCATGTCCAGGGCCGGACGGGGTGGAGGTCGATCGTTGAGGGCAGGTTTTTGTCAGTCCGGTTTTCGGTTTATTGGAGGCCTTCCAAGGAACCACGTTCTCCATAGCGGACCTGGGCTCCAGGAGGGCGTTGTCCGACCCCACTGCGCTGTGCTCGCCGCCTCGGGTGGTGTCGTCGTCGTCGTCGCCGGCGTCGGCAGAAGCGGTGGCCCCCGAAGGACATCGGCACGCCGTTGGCGGCGGCCGTGGAACGGCGGAGGCGGCGGCTGATCTGGAAACGGCTGCCGCCGAAAATCGTGTTGCTGCGGCACGGCGAGAGCGAGGGCCACGCCGACCGCATCACGTACACGAGCAAAGGAGCCCCCGCGGCAGGAGCATGAGGAGGAGGAAGAGGAGGAACAAGAAGAGGAGGAGAAGGAGGAGCAGGAGGAGGAGGTTGTGCGGCGCTGGACACCACCGCGCCGAGCTCCCGGGCATTTTTTGTTGTTGTTTGTGTTTTCGTTTTTCCACCGGGCGCCAGGGCGCGCGAGAGACCCGCGCCGCCGGCGGAGGAGGAGGAGGAGGAGGAGGAAGGATTTTGAGTGGAGGACGAGAAAGAGGAGGGCGAGAGGGAAGGAGGAGGAGGAGGAGGAAAAGTAACCGGGGGATCGATGTAGGAGTAGTTGCGTTGGCCATCGTGGGAGTCTAGGAGCCCCACAAGGACCAACATATCTTCGTAGGTTCGTATGGGTTTGGTCGGATGCGTCTGACATCGGGGCGGAATTTTGACACCACGGTGCAGAGGGGCGGTCGGCATCTGGACGACATCCAGTCGAAATCGCGTTGATGACGGTGCCGCGGAGGTCCACAGAGGCTCCCATAAAGGCTTACTGTAGTGAGCGGAGCAGTATATCGGCGACGACTCGTCCGAACGCGGCGAACCCGCGGCCCAGGAGACAGCCTCCACGAGCTGACCCCGCGGGGGCTTTGCCAGGCCATCGAGGCGGGCGCGCGCCTGCGGGAGCTTGTCGGCCAGGCGCCCGCGCGCTTTCTGCTCCTGGATGCTCCTCAAGTCGACGAGGAGAAATCGGCATACACATTCGATTCCAGAGCTCCGCGCGGGTTTCTTGGATCGGCGCCTGGCCCCCCCCTGGCGGCGCCTCGGGCGTCGCCCCTGGTTGGCCCCGCGCGACAGGGAGGGGGACCCAGCGCCGATCCAAGAAATCCGTGCGGAACTACAACAGATTATGTGTATGACGCTTTTTTGTATTATAATGTAGAAGTGCTGAGGGCACCCCCCCGTTTCAATATTGTCGTTTTGTTATCCGCGTTGGGCGCCGTTGTTGTCACACGTTTTCAGGTCTGGGATCGGCCCGTTTTCATTCGTTTCTAGATACGTTCCTGAATATCACATTGCCGCCTGCCTGATGCCCATGTCCAGGGTGGCGTTTTTGACACGTTGTGGTAAAGTCAAAAGCGACAAGTGGACAACAACAAACAACGCCCCCAGCGTGTGGTTCTTGGACGTGCCGAGGGGCTTGTGAGCCACCAGCTCGCACTTAGAAGAGCCTCCAGCGCTGCCTGGAATGCGATCTTGCGCCGATATCCAAGAAATGCGCGCGGGCCTCCGACAAGTTAAGCTTACTGTCATGTGTTTGTTTCCTGGGCTTCTGAGGCATCCACGTGCACCTGGGAACGATGCAAAACAGCAGCCAGAAAGTATTGAAACCACGCATTGGACAAGTACCTGGACACTGTTGGATCAAACCGTGCGGGTGGTATTAGTGGAAGCGGTAAGAGCATGTTCCCTGGGACAGGGGGGCATTTCCCTTTGCCCACTCGCGGATGCCTGTGCAGGCGGCGCGCTGAAGGGGCAAGTTAGAGGGGGCAGGCCGGGCAGGCTTTCTCAGAAGGAGACGGGGCATCTCAGATGCCTTCTGGTCTGCTGACGAGCACCTTGCAGCTCCAGAGAATCGGAGGTCCGCGCAGGTTTTTTGGATCCGCGCTGGACCCCCTCCCTGGCGCGCGGACAGCGCCTTGGGCGGCGCCAGAGGCGTCGCCAGGATGGCTGGGCGCCGATCCGAGGAGTCCGCGCGGACCTTCGAGTTGCTATGTTTGCGTCATTGTTTGTTCCCCTAGTACACCTTCTTCGAAGGCGGAGCTTTCGAAGAACCGATGTGTTGTTGTCAGGAGCCTTCTTCGAAGGCTGGAGGTGGTCACGAGGGTTGCATTGCTTGGTGCCGCGTGCGTCTGTTCCGCCGTCTGCGCATCAACGTCGTGGTGTGACCTGTTGGGCAGGTCGTGCATACGTGCGCCTGTGGCCCAAGAGCTGTACAGAGAAGGAATGGAAATGCGGGCCACGTTGGGCTCAGGAGGAGGTGTCAAGCTCAGCTATTCGGGGGCCGCTCGACAGGCTCCGACGTGGGCGTCCAAGGCCCCTGCATCTTAGTGGGCCCCGGAAACGGCAGGGCTGTTTTTTCACCATTTCCAAAAAAGTGTCCCTTGAAAGTGGAAACGGCAAACAAACAGCGACCGGAAACGGCAACAAAAACGGCTCCAGGATTGGAACTGGAGCGGGACCCCGTAAAAGAACGGCGACGGAACCCGAAAAAAAATAACGGCGCCGGAACCGGCATCAAGAACGGCAGAACGGAACCGGTAAACAAACGGCCCTGTCGTTTCCAGGGCCCACTAAGCCCTTGCAGCCTTGCCTCCTCGGCCCATCCTCGGCCACTTTGGCTGGCCGCGCCCCGCTCGACAGGCTCCGACGTGGGCGTCCAAGGCCCCTGCGTCCTTTACCGCGTATCCTTACGATACGGGTTGACTGTGCGACCCGAGAGCGCTCCACGCGCCGCCCGGGCGCGGCGCCTCCGGCAAAGCGCCCCGGCGGGGGGCGGCCCCCAGCGCGGGCCGTCGGAGGGACTGCCGGGCCGCCTCGGAGGGGCGGCCCCTGGGCGAGGCGGCCTCTCGGCCCAGGCGGCCCCGGGCCTCCTCCTCCTCCTCCTCCTCCTCCTCCTCCTCGTCCTCCTCTCCTCCTCCCTCCTCCTCCTCCCTCCTCTCCTCCTCCTCTCCTCCTCCTCCTCCTCCCTCCTCCTCCTCCTCCTCCTCCTCCTCCTCCTCCCCCTCCTCCTCCTCCTCCTCCTCCGTGCGTTGCGGCCTTGATGAGCATACAGCGTCCCGCCGATGCGGCGGCCCGTCGCGGCGGCGCGTCGGCGCTGAAGAAGAGCGTGGCTCCTGCGCAGAAGCCCCGATGCATGATGAGGTTCAGGTCGGGCGTGTCCCCCTACAGCCCTACAGGTGGATTCGGGACGCATTTTTTATTGAAAACACCAAACATACACTAGAATATTACAAGCATAGTCCCCAGACCATTTTTTAACTGTCGTTGAATGTTCCCTCTGAGTTAACTAACTGATGTTAACTGGACAGGCTCGACTTAAGATGAGTTCGATCGTGGCACGTTTGTGGCTCCGGCCCGCGCGGGCGCCCTCGTCTTCTTCCCCGCGGGGCCCTCTTGCACGCCGGGCAGTTCGCCGATGGGTTGGCCCGAACAGTCACACGCTGGTGCGGACTGCCTCTGCCTCGCCGCCGGCGAAAAAAAAGTGTCTGTGGCTCCGGTCTGGCCTGCGGGGGTCGTGCGCCGACAGTGCGCGCTTCAGGAGATTTGGTTACCACACATGCACAGTTGCACACGGCGCCTCCTGGGTGCCAGTTCGTCGTCTTTTTCGGCCTCGTCGCGATTGCCGCAGCAGTTCTCGTGGGGCGGTCTAGCCAGGTGCCGTCGCTTAGTGAGGCACTTCCCGCCGTGGGACTTGTGTTCCGCGCGGCGTCCGTGCTTTTGCAGGGCGCGCTTCATCTGCTTTCGGCAAGCGTTGTGGCCGGCAGCATTTTTGTAGGGGGAGCATTGAAACACGTGTCCCGCAATGCCCCCGTCGGTCTCTCAGGCCCCCAGAGGTTTCGACGCACACTGAAGTAGCGCAAGACACCTTTTATTTTTTCACTATCCATCACCTTCTCCTCCTCCTCCACCTCATCCTCGTCCTTCTCCTGTATTTGTCCTCCTCCTCCTCCTCCTCCTTCTCCTCCTCCCTCTCCTCCTTCTCTCTCTCTCTCTCTTGTTCTCCCTCTCTTCTTCATCTAAGTGATCCCTCGTCATCTATTCGTCGCCGTCCTCCACCAACCTACTTGGCTCGCCATCCCTCGCCTTCATCCCTCCCGCCGTCCTCCCTTTGCCTTTCTCGCTCTTTGTCAATGTGAAGCCTGTATTGGCGCGGGCGCATGTTAGATCTTGAGCTCCAGTGCCTGGGGCATGCTTGCGTCGCTGGGTGTACCTCAGCCCCTCGGACATGGCCAAAACGTTCCAAAACGATCCCTCTTTCTTTTTTGTCTTTCCCTCGTCCTCCACCCATGTAGGTGTTCGATCATGGACCCCTTGTTGAACGCAATCGCTCAGCTTCGCGCCGAGGGCCACCCGAAACCGCCAATGTCCGCCAGAAACCTCCGAAGATCAACGAATACCGTGGAAGACCGTCAGATGGCAGCCAGAGACCGCCAGAAGATCGTCAGAAGATCGCCGAAACATACCGAAGGCCGCGGCAGACCCTCAGAAGACTGCCCAAAGGCCGAAGACGCGGGAAACATGGTCGAAGACCCTTCTCTCCTCGGCGGCGAGCGAGGGGGCGAAGTGAGAAGGAGGAGGCCTCCTCAGAAGGTCGGGAAGTCCCCTTGCCTTCTGAGAAGTGTTTTAAAGCCTTCCCCGAAGCAGAAACAGACCTCTCAGAATGCGCCAGGGCCTCTGAGAAGCCCCGCCGCCTCTGAGAAGGCATTCTCCTTCTCACCTCCCCTCGCTCGCCGCCGATCTTCGGAGGGCCGGCTTCGGCCGCGCTCGCAGCAGGACCGCATGTTCGTGTGCCTCTCGCCGTACGAGTGCTCCCAGCAGACCCTGCTGGGGCTCTACCGGGGCGGGTTCCCCGAGAGCCAGGCAGCCTGCGAGGAGAGAGGAGGGAGGGAGAGGGGATGGCCGGGACAGGTGAGGGGAGGGGAGGGGAGGGAGGGGAGGGGACAAGCTTAGTACGCTCGCGTCATATTTGACGTCCTACCCCTCCCTCCCATCCCTTACCATGGCGTAGATCCCCTCTCCATTCGCACAGTTGGATGTCGAGCAGGGCAATGATCGCGAGAGGGTGCGCGATGCATCGTAGAGCACGGCATGGCATGGCGTAGAAGAGCACGGCAGAGCGTAGAATATCATAGCATAGCGTGGCATTGCGTAGTGAAGCATTGCATCACAAAGAATTTCAATGCAAAGCATGGCATAGCACGGAGGCGCAGAGCAGAACACCGCACAGCATGTCATGGCAGGGCAAAGGGTTCCCTCGTGGGTCAGTGGATAGACTTCGAAGGGTCGGGGCCGGTCTGGAGTCGCGGCTCTATGTTCAGCTCCCTTGGCTCCGCGACAAGCTCCCCACAAGGCGGGGCTGATGGAGAGCACCCGCTGGCTCTGCTTGCAACATCGCACGCCGCCGCCCCGAAGTGGTGGGGCCTTCTGCGGCCCAAGAGCTTGACGAATCGTCACTGGATGTGTAATAACTTGCGATGTGTGTGTTTGTTTCTGGGGGGTAGTTTTTTTAGTATTTGGGGCCCATTTGGATGGACCGAAAACGCCCGCACTGCAGCCGGAGCACGTTTTGGAACAGCCAGCGGTGCAGCGGGAGCCAGCACTGCAGCGGGAGCAACATTTGAAGGATCGAAAAGAATCGGATTGCAAAATAACAAAATGAAAACCGAGAAATGAGGCCAGCGCTGCAGCGGGAGCACGATTCGGAACCAGCGGAAGCGCGGAAATGAGGGCAGCGCTGCAGCGGGAGCACGATTCGGAACGAGCGGAGGCGCGGAAATGTAGCCAGCGCTGCAGCGGGAGCAACCTGTTTGCCTTTGTCAAAAACCCGTTTCCCGGGAATCTTGCGTGCAAAAAAAGCAGTACGCGGAAGGGGGGCCGGATATCTTCAGGACGTCATCAGGGGAGAGAGGAGAGTAGCATTCATATTGTGTAATTGTGAAGGGAGGGAGGGGAGGGGAGGGGAGGGGAGGGAGGGGGTGGAGGGGAGGAGGGGATGGGATGGGAGAAAGGGGAAGGTGAGGGGAGGGAGAGGGGAGGGAGGGGAGGGAGGGGAGGGGAGGGTAGGACTGGGACGAGGTGTTGGGGAAAGGGAGGGAGAGCGAGGTTCACAAGGAGGAGGCTGTCAGGGAGAGGTGGGCGTCAGACAGGAACTCAAAGTGCGCAGAGGACACGCGATGCTTTTCGGCGCCGTGGCGCGCAACAAGAACTGCCCCAGCACTGCCAGCCCACGAACGCAACGACACGCCGCGCCGAAGGGCCTCGTCGAAAGGAGGATGAGCAGGCAGCCGCGCAGAGGTAGGTGCACCTGGGACTGGCCTGGCTTCCAAGGTGCGGTACCAAGTTGGCGCGCGGATGGCCATCCCTTAAGGGCCAGGCGCGGGCTCCACAGGTTCCCCTCGTTGCGAACTGGCGCGTCGATACCACTGGGAGAGCAAACGAGGTGCATGGGGCCTCGGCCAAGCCCTTGTGAAAGGGCTCAACGACCGGCCCGATCGACAGCCTGCGATATGGGAAGAGGTCCGACGCGGTCCCGCAGCGGAGACACACCATCAGACAAGTGCACCACAGACCAGGCGTACCATGTCGGTTCAGGAAGACAGGTGCAGGTCTGAACCTGCTTATTTTTCGAAGTGTCACTCCACTGGCCCTCCGAGTCGCTCCACAGATACAAAGAAATCAGGGCGTCTGGAACGGGCGCGATAAAGTGTGCAACGGAGTGAAACGAAGGCCGCATGACAGATTCAGGACGCACCACTGCCCGAGCACACCTTGGGTCCACAATCCCTGCCTCACATCAGCATGCCGGTCTCGAGGGGGTCCACTCTGCTCTCGGGAGGGTGCATCTGAAGCAAATCGTCACGTACCACGTGTGGCCATACGTGCCAATAGTCGGAGACGCGCTCGGGGACATGATATCGCCCGGCCCAGAGCGAGGCGCCAAGCTCGGCTCCTGCAGGCGTACGGCCAACGTTTGCTCGGCGCGTCTCCCGACCTGTTCTGGCCCACCACGCCTCGGCGCGACGCGCTGAGCTCGGCCCAGGCCGCATGGATCAGCGTCCCGAGCTTTCCCCCGCCTCCCGCGACGCGGAGCGATATGCCATCCGCCTGAGAGGCAGGGCGCGTCGCTGGGGCCGCCAGCGCGACACGCTACGCAGAAGCCCCTGAGCGCAGGTGTGCGGGCACGGCATGAGAAGCCAGCGAGCTTGCGGGCGTCCGGCGCCGGCGCCGCACGAGCGCCCCCCCGCTCGTTCGCGCAGGTCTCGCGCGCTTCGAAAATCGCTTGGGCTTGGGCGAGCCAAGCCCAATGCATGCGGCCACGGCCGGCTTTCGCGTCCCATACCGATCAAGCAGTGTCGAAGCGTCCTGGCTCGCCTATAGCCCCAACCAAACAATGTTCTAAGAACCTTCTGTGGTTCCCGCGAAATGTTCTTAGAACATTTCTGGTTGAGTCTGTCTTGTTTTAACACATCGGGTTCGTGTTTTAAGAACGTTGTTTTTGTTTTTCGAACATTTTTGGGTTATGAGAGCATTTCGTGGTAGGACTATAGGAATGCCGGGACGGTGGTCCCTGCTCAAATGCCGAGGTTCAATGACGAGCAACACGAGTCATGGCGCAATTGGAAATGGGGCCACGGTCGCATCACAGTGCGACATCAGGCACTCAGTTATGCCTCGGCGGCGCGACATGGAGGTAGGGTTAGGTCGGGCCTGCCCCCCTACAGGGGGATTTTCGACGAAAAATCACAGATACCCCAGACATAGTCAAAAAATAGTCCAAAAATAGTCTGGGGATTATTTTTGGAGTATGTTTTGACCTTTTTGGGGTACTTCTGGTGTATCTTTTATTTTTCGTCGAAAATCCCCTTGTAGGGGGACAGGCCCGACATAAAGGTAGGGGGAGGGTGGGAGGCCTCTTAGAAGGAGGCTGCTTCTGAGAAGGCGACGGCCCGACATCTACAGACAAGGCCCGCGCCTTTCAGAAGCAGCCTCCTTCGGAGAAGCCTTCCCCCTCTCCGCCTAGAGTCAACCCGCACAATAAGGATGGACAAGCTTCCGAAGGGTACCTTTGCATCCTTGCCTCCTCGGTCCGTCCTTGGCCCCTTTCGTTGGCCGCGCCCCGCTCGAAAAGCTCCGAAATGGGCGTCCAAGGCCCCTGCGTCCTCATCGCGCATCCCTACAAGACGGGTTGACTGTGCCCCCCCGTGCGCGCCGCCGAATGCCCGCTCAGAGAGGCAGCCGAGTGCCCGACACGCCGGAAGCTCCAGCACCCTGCGATGCAGCGGGGGCCCTGCCCCGTCCTGAAAGGGCTTGGCCACGCGCCGCCCCGCGGCGCGCTGCAGCTTGGCCGCGCGTGGCCGCGTGCCAAGACGAGCGCACTCCGCCTGGCGGGTTCTGGCAGCCGTGAAGCACGCAGCCCGGCCATCTCTCGGGGGCGTGTGGTTTGTGACCGCGGGGCTTAAGCGGGCCATCTCTCGGGGGCGTGTACTTTCTTTCCGCGGGCGTGCGCGGGCCCTCCGCAGGCGTCCACAGGCGGAGGCGCCCTCCTCGTTTGAGGTCCGCCTTCCGACCAGCCGCCTTCCTCCTCGAAGGCGACGTCCTTTTTCTGGAGCGCGCCAGTGTCGGTACACTCGTGGGCACGAGAGATCATGGCCAAGATTCCGCATCCACCCCATTGTTGGAACAAGGACCTCTCGTACCACGTGCTGGCGGGGTGGCGGAAGCATCTCAGGACACCCCATTGTTCTGGCTGCGCGAGCATGCCCAGAGTCCCAACATCAGGGCCGAAGCCAAGGACTGCCTTCCCCATGAGTCGCGGTCGTGTCATAGCATGCCCGATAAGTTGCAGCGACGTGTCAGCTGGAGGCGCGGGGGCGAGGAGGAGGGAGCTTGGCGAGAAGGAGAGGGAGATAGGAGGAGAAGGAGGAGGAGAGCGGAGAAGGCGGCAGGGGTGAAGGTGGAGGTAAAGTAGAAGGGGCGGAGGACAAGGTGGACGCGGGACAGGATGATGGAGGAAGAGGGGGATGTTGACGACGACTAGGGTGCGAAGTCGGCGGAGGAGGGGGCACAGGGGCAGGAGGAAGTCGAGGAGAAGGAAGATGGAGGATGAGGAGGAACAAATAATAGGAGGACATGAGGATAAATACTGAGAAAGTCGTGGCGGTGTGGGAATGGGAAGTAAGAGGATGAGGAGGAGGTCGGCACGAGCAGTCGGGCCAGCGTGGTCAGGTCCACGTCGCTTTTGCCGAATCGTGCGTGTCAGCACAAGCGTGTTGTTCGGAGAGAAAGAGAGAGAGAGAGAGAGAGAGAGAAATAGGTATAGAGAGAGAGGGATCGTCCAGGCCAGTTCAATCTCGGCGGCGCGTCCGGTTCATTCGCAAGGATCGTTTACCGAGGATTGGCTCTACGTGTACCAGTATTCATATATCCCTCCGCTTCTCGTTCGCAGTATACATCGCCGTGGCCAGTCTCACCACGTTCCCAGGCAGGAGCCTTTTCTGGGTGTGTCGCACCGCCGCCTCTGGCCCACAACGCCTCAGCGCCACACGCCAAGCACGCCCCCGTTCAGAAGCCTTACCGCTCTGTGCTGTTCCTGGCCCCCCGGTCCCGCGAAGCCGAGCGCCACGCTATCACCGTCCACGGGGTACCGTGTCGCCAGGGCCGCCGCCACGGGCACGGCAAGCGCCAGGTCTTGAGATTGGAGTCACGTTGCGCAGCCCGCCCGCCCATCCGTTGCCGTGCAGGTGGAGGTCGTGCACACGGACCCGCAGATCCGCGAACGGGACTTGGGCAATTTCCAAGATCCTGGCCTCCTCTCGAAGGTACGATCGTAGCGGCTGTCTCTTGTGCTTGTGCCTTTGTGAGTGCAGTCGCTTCGCAAGCAACAAAGGCAGGGCAGTACGTCACGACTGGTGCTTCGACGTCGCGAGCTGGCGGTCATTCACGGCCATACTGTCATGTGCAGTGCATGTCAAACATCATATGTTGCGTGAGCCGAACATCGCCATCGCAATCGCGATGCTTGCCCGTATCATCGTGAGCGCAGTGTTTGTGCCATTTGCCATTGCAGCCGTATGTGTTCGATCGGTGTGGGTTTACTTGGGGACCTCCTTGGTCACCTTGGAGCTTTCCTGGGCCAGTTTGGGGTGCCCTCGTGCCTCCTAACGCTTGGTGACCTCTTAGGGCTGGTGACCTCTTAGGGCTCTTAAGGACCGTCTCAGGGCTCTCTAGGGCCGTCTTGGGGCCCGCGTGTGCCATCTAGGTGTTGCCTTGGGGCAATCCTGGGGCTACCTTGAAGGCCTCGTGGGCCGCCTGGGGTTCTCCCAGGCCCTAAGAGGCGAGACCGCGGAAGTTAGTTTGAAGCATGTTAGCCAGCAGGGGGCCCCAATTCGAATGTTTTGCAGCGTGGAGGTGCAAGCTGTGCGTCGCAGTCATCTGATGCAAGCTTTTTGGTGCGAGCTGTGTGGTGACACCTGCGCAGTGCAGCCTGCCTGGCGCAAGCCATGCGGTGCAAGCCGTGTGGTGCAAGCTATGGTGTGCACGCGGCGGCTTGCATCCTGCGCGGTGCACGCTACGTGGTGTAAGCTATATGGTGCAAGCTACGAAGCTGCGTGGTGCATCGTACGTGGTGCAAGCCATGCGGTGCAAGCTATGCGGTGCAAGCTATGTGGTGCAAGCTGCGTGGTGCATGCTGCGGTGTGCATTACGAGTACAGGCTATATGGTGTGCGCTGTATGGTGCAAGCCACGTAGTGCAATGTACGCGGTGCAAGGTGTGTTGTACGATTAGGCTATGCAGTGCAAGCCATGTGGAGCAATCAATGTGTTGCACGCTATGTTGTGTGGTCTACGTCTGAGGACCTACTGGGTGCAAGTGTTGTGGAGCAAGCTATGTGGTGTAAGCTATGTGGTGTAAGCTATGTTGCGTAACCTATGTGGTGCAGCTCGTTTGAACCCCCTCAAGTTGTGAACTCCACTGCTCGCGCAATCATCTCACCTTCCCACCCGCAACTTGTTTTGCAAAGCTCCTGCGGCGGCAATTGCGATGACTGCACCGATGGCAACTTCCCAGCGCGTCTCAAAGGCCGCGTTGGTGCGCAGGCACCTCAACGCGGGTCGGAGGCTCGGGCGGGCGTGGTATCATGGTGACATGACAGGGGCGGCAAGGACGATGATAGTAGTAGCGATGGTGGTGGCGATGACGACAATTGACGATGGAAAGGCCAGTGGCGGCGCCGATGTTGATAACGCCGATTTTGATGCTGGTGTCCGCGTGTTGATGACGAGGGTGCTTGGGTGATGATGGCGGCAATGTCGGCGGTGGTCGACAACGATGACGTGATGCCCTTCGGTCGCCAGGGACGCCCCCCCCCCCCCGTCAGCGCCCGCCCCGCAGGACGATGAGGAGGAGGAGGAGGAGGAGGAGGAGGAGGAGGAGGAGGAGGAGGAGGGAGGAGGGGAGGAGGGGGAGGAGGGGGAGGAGGAGGAGGAGGAGGAGGAGGGGGAGTTGGAGGAGGAGGGGGAGTTGGAGGAGGGGGAGGAGGAGGAGGAGGAGGAGGAGGAGGGGGAGGAGGAGGAGGAGGCACAGGAGGAGGAGGAGGAGGAGGAGGAGGTGGAGGAGGAGGAGGAGGAGGAGGAGGAGGAGGTGGGGGAGTCAAGACGGCGTGAAGGGGGAGGTGGAGAAGGGAGGCGTGGGAGAGAGAGAGAGAGAGAGAGAGCGATGAGAAGAGCAGGCAGGGAAGCAGAGAGGGGAGCGAGGACAGAGGAGGAGGCGCGGGGGAGCTCTCCCCCGCACACCGCGCCCGAGGTCCACGAGGAGGAGCGCAAGGTGGGCCGCTACAGCTACCGCCCCGACAACGGCGAGAGCTGCGCGGACGTGCTGGACCTTCCGCCGGGCCTCGCGGGGCCCATTCCGAGCCGACTTGCTTGGGTTGGAATCGATCCTGGTCGGCTCCGTCCGGCTCGATCCCGGTGTGCCACACCCAGATCCCCCTGGCTCTGTGAACAAATCACGACGGGAGGCGCGCTTCGCCATGTTCCTGCTCCGGGGATCCTTCCCGGGCCCCAGGAGCGTCAAACAGCGCCTCGGGATGAGAAGCCGGGCCCCGGGGACAGGGTCCAGACCTCTGGGGGTCGACGCTGTGAATAGGGGAGCGAAGAATGACCTCAGATCTTGTAAGTTTATGTCATTCTTCGTTCCCCTAGTGAGCTAATGCGACGTCGGGGGTCTGGACCCCCAGGAGCCCGAGGAGCCTGGACCCCTTCCCGTGGACCGGTGTCTCATCCTGAGTCGTTTTTTGACAGTCCCGAGGCCCAGCGAGGGCCCCTGGAGGCCGAGAATAGCGAAAAACCTCTCGCCGTGATTTTTTCACTGCCCGAGGGGGCCTGGGACGGTCCGATGCCGATGCGCCCCCCGCCTCCTCGCGCCGTGGGCGGGGGGACAACCCGAGCACGGCGGCAGGCCTTCGGCCGTTCTCGGCCTCGGGGGGCCCTCGCAAGGCCCACCGGGGAGCCCCCCGCAGAGGGTGTGGTGACCACACTGTGTGGTGGGCCGGGGGGGGGAGCCGTGTGGTGAGCCGAAGGGGGGGGGGGTGCGGGGTCACCGCACGGTCTTGGGGCTCGAGTCCCTCTCCGAGGATGTCTCGGGCGACAGGGGCCTCTGGGGTCCCAATGCCGTGCGGTGACGGAGCGTGCGGTGCGTTCTCTTGGGGCTGCGAGGTCACCGCACGGTCTGTCACCACACGGTTTCGGGATCCCCCAGGGGGCCGCGACAGAAGGACTCGGGATGGAAGGCTGGCCCTGCCGGAGGGGCCGATCGCAACCTGAGGCGACGCCCACCACCCCGACCACGACCAGGGGCGAGGCCGTCTTGCCCCAACCCAACTGGGGGCGCCGCGTGTGAAACAGATTCCTGCCCATGTGCTTGGCGTCGCCTGACCTCGATGCCGATCGTGAGGATCTCCATCCGTTTCTGAGGGCCTATGGCTGTAATCGATTTTGTCTTGCCCATCTTAAGGACGTTTCGGGTTGGTCTGTCTAGGCCGAATCGAGTTTGTTTAGGGGTGGGATAAGTTAGAGTCTGTTTGGGGTTGGTGCCTTTTTGGGGGGGGGCCACGACTGAGCGCCAGCCTCGAAGGCGCGGGAATGTCACCCCCCGATCCCCGATCCCGGCATCCTGGCTATACCAGGGATTCCCACAGGAGCCGCCGTTTGGGGCAGAGGTGTCATTCGGGGCCAGTTCCTCCTCCTCCTCCTCCTCTTCCTCCTCCGCTTCCTCCTCCTCCTCCTCCTCCTCCTCCACCTCCTCCTCCTCCTCCTCCTCCTCCTCCTCCTCCTCCTCCTCCTCCTACGGTGCACACTTTGAGCAAGCAGGAGGTGGAGCAGGCCATCACTCAGCTGTGCTGCATCGCAGGAGGCAAGCTCAAGCTGAGGAATGCCCAATCAGGGGCATTTGAAGACGCAGGCTGGCGCAGAAGCTGGTTGACAAAACCAAGGCGGGCAACGGGAACGGAGGGAAGCAGCAACAGGAAATAGACACGGGACCCGAGTCCTGGGAGAGCAGGCGTTCAGCCTTGTTTCAACGCAGTCAAGCGCGAGAATGGGCCAGGCTTCAACATGATGCACGATAGTCAGTGGGTGTCTTCTTTAATGCACATGTCTTCGCCGACCCAACGACCTTGGATGAGTTGAGTCGTATCGGAAGATGGCCGGTTATGACACTCTCGGCGCCCGATTGTGGCTAGGGAAATGGCTCGACACCCCTCGACCTACTTGGCTGCGCGGACATGAGCATCGGCACAGACATCGACACAAACCTGTTCATGTCCATATGCGACCTCCAGAAAATTATGCTCGCCCAGCTCTGCCTTCAAAGTCACAGTCTCGTTGGCGATGAAGGCCGCTGGCTTGTTGGCCTTGCCTACTGATACGATTACCACCATACCATCTTTGGGAACTGCAATCTCTAAGTGATGGGATCGCAGATCAGTCCGTGCTGGAGTTGCACATGCCTAATCGTTCATGACGATCTTGGTCAGCTAGAGTAGTGAATGCATGTCAGTGTCGATCTGCTCGGGTTTGGCTAAAGTCTGACTGCGGCTACGAACCGAACATTGGTAACGCGCATCGCCTCTGTGAAGGTTGCATTATGGGGGCCTGTGCGTTGCACGGCGCATGGCTCGTATCCCAGAGATCGGTTGGAGAGGAGTTGTCAACGGCGTCCCAATGGCAGGTACTTTGACATGGTATGTTTGTGCATTGGTGCTTCTCTGTGCTGGTGCAGATACCTACCGACGCGATGGACGCTTGCACTGCGGACGATCTCGATCAGTTCGAGGCGGCTGGGCTATCAGAGTTGCCGACGAGCTGAGGTTCGCGACCTCCGTTCGTCGCGTATTTAAAATCTAATAACCGGCGGCGGTGTCCCCAGGCCCTTGGGCCCCCTTTTTTTCACCCGTCCCCCCGCCGCACCGCATTTTCGCCCCCGGCGCCTGCGGGCCTTTCTGAACGCTAAACGGCGTCCCCTGCTCCTACACCGCCCTATTCGGCGCCCGCCGCAGACGCCCAGAGACCGCCAAGACGGCCCAGGAGCGCACCGAGCCGCCAAGATGGCCCCATGATGCCAAGCCCCAGCAAACGGAGTGCTTGTAAACGGGGTGGTAGCTTCGAGTGCGTTGACAATTGTGCCTCCGAGAAACTGATTTGCCGCGCACAAGTGCGAGGCAATCCCCCCCGCCCAGAGTTACGATGATGTGTCGACGATTTTGCCGTCCCGTTTTTTCACGCACTAGTGCGAGGTAAATGCCCTGTCGCCCTGTACTCGCTCGTAGAGAACCCTGAGTTTCTCCGTTTACTAGCACCTCGTTTGCAAGGGCTTGGTGATGGCCCAAGAGCGCTCCAAGAGACCAACGTCCTTCATTCCAAAGAGGGCTCCAAGAGATCAACGTCCTTCATTCCAAAGAGACCAAGAGGACTTCCAAAGAGGGCCCCAAGAGACCAACGTCCTTCACTCCCAATGCTTGTTCCCAATGCTTTCCACGTCCTGGCGCTTTCGGGCTTCTGGCACTTCAAGACTGCCCAAAAAGCTTCCAACGTCGCCCGAACAGGACCCAAGAGGCCTCCAAGAGGCCTCAAGGCCCCAAGGGGCGTCCAAGACGGCCCATGAGGGCCTAATAAAGGATCCAAGAGGGGCCCAAGAGCAGGAACACGAACCGACAATACCAGCCTTCCGCTTCAAGAGGCCCCCGGGAGGCTCCAAGGACCCGCGAGAGGTTCCAAGAGGCTCGAAAAATACCCCCACGATGCGCCAAACCTTCCCCCCAGAGACGTCAAACTTGTATCCAGTAGGTCCCCGATATTCTTCCCCCGATATCCCAACACACTTCCAAGACGCCTCTAACCCACAACCCATGCACGGTGGCGGGATGGGCAAACGGCAGCAAGAGGCAACACAGATGGATGTCCCAAACGGTTGTCACCGATGTTCGTGTTCTCGCTCCTCCGCGTTCCCTAGTGTCCAAGATCGCCAGAGAGCACCCCCAAACCTCCCAAGACGGCCCGAGAGGCCCCAAAGTTTGCCCAAGGGCGTTCCAGAGGAGCCCCAAGAGGAAGAGGAGGAGCAGGAGGAGGAGAGGGAGGAGGAGGAGGATGAGAGGGAGGAGGAGGAGGAGGAGGAGGAGGAGGAGGAGGAGGGGAGGAGGGAAGAGGAGGCGGAGGAGGAGGAGGGGGGGGAGGAGGAGGAGGAGGAGGGGGAGTGGAGGAGGAGGGGGAGTTGGAGGAGGGGGGGAGGAGGAGGAGGAGGAGGAGGAGGAGGAGGAGGAGGAGGAGGAGGAGGAGAGGAGGAGGAGGAGGAGGAGGAGGAGGAGGAGGAGGAGGAGGAGGGAGGAGGAGGAGGAGGAGGAGGATGGAGGAGGAGGAGGAGGAGGAGGCACGCGTGCGGGCCCCCGAGACCGCTGGCGGCCCCCAAATGGCCCAAGAGGCGCCCAAGACCAAGAGGGCCTCGGGACGGCCCCAAGAGGGGACCACGAGGGGGAACACGAGCCGACAACACCAGCCTCCTGCCCCCAGAGGCATCCAGGAGGCCCCCACGACGGCCCAAGAGGGCCCGCAGGAGGCCTTGTAAGGGGCGCCCAAGCCGGCCCAAAAGGGCCTCGGACGGCCCCAAGAGGGGCCCAAGAGCGGGAGCACGAACCGCCAATTCCAGCCTGCCGCCCCAAGAGGCCCCCAGGAGGCTCCAAGAGGTTCCAAGAGGCCCGAAAGAGGCTCCCAACTGGCCCCCCAGAGGCTTCAAAATTGCATCCACGGGCTGCAGGACGGCCCCACGAGGGGCCCAAGAGCGGGAGCACGAACCGCCAATTCCAGCCTGCCGCCCCGAGAGGCCCCCAGGAGGCTCCAAGAGGTTCCAAGAGGCCCGAAAGAGGCCCCAAACTGGCCCCCCAGAGGCTTCAAAATTGCATCCACGGGCTTCAGGACGGCCCCACGAGGGGCCTGTGAGGGGGAGCACGAACCGCCAATACCAGCCTGCCGCCCCGAGAGGCCCCCAGGAGGCTCCAGCGGCCTCGTTCTGTGCTGGACCTCTCGCCGATTTCGATAGATCGTCCGCGGAGTGCACGGTGTGCTTCTCCCGCGCGCTCAGCTGTAACAGCCCCGCTGCCCCGCATCTTTCCTTTTGATAGCCAGGGGAACCGGGCATTCAGGGCGCGCGCTGATCCCCACCACAGGCAGGGCGATTGTTGCGAGCGGTATATTGGCTTCCGTGTGTGCGCGCGGTCCTAGAAGTGTGTCCTGTACGTTAGGTCGCCGAGCATTTGGCAGAATCCCGACCGAAATATTCAATGGGATGCCCGAAGTTGCGAGGATGTCTCAGGCGAGCCTGGATGGACCATTTAGGGCGAAAGATCGCCGCCCAGGAGTTGCGATGCAGTCTCAATGGCCAGGGCGTCTCAGGCCAAACTGTTTCTCACTCCTAAGGATCCCAGGCCAAACTGGTCGGACCACCTCCTGCGTGACATTTTGGAACCCGCGTTGCAAAAAAACGCATTGCGAGGATGTCTCAGGCGAAACTGTTTTTTTGTTACATGCGCTGCTGCATGTTGACTGCGTTGCTTGGAATGCATGTTCTGGCTGTTCAGGATGCATTGCTGCCTGTTGATTTGCGACGGTTTTTCAGGCGAGGGCGCCAGGAGCACGTCAGGCCAGGACATATCCGAATCCAGATCTTCGTGGATGTCCCCGGCAAAACTAGGTGTGCCACCTGACCCCACACCTGCAGTGATCTCTCCTGCGAAATTGATTCGGCCACATGGGTTTTGGGATTGTCCGATTCCAAAGTTTCGCGGACATCTCAAGCGAGCATGGCTGAGTGAACCCGGAGTTGCGAGGATGTCTCGGCGCCGCCGCTTATATCATCTCTCGGCCGCCATCTCCGTTTCATAAATTCGAGATTGTCTCATGCCGAACGGGTCGTGTGTGCGTCAGGCGATACCGTCTGGGCCACCTCTGGCCGTGGCATGGATGTTTCAGGCGGCGATGTTTCAGGCGGCAATGGTTGGACCACTTCAGGCCATGACATGTGCAAGCCTTGATATGCAAACACGTCTCGACCAAACTAGCCTGACCACCTGAGGTTAGGATATATCCGAGCCCATAATTGCGAGGCTGTCTCAGGCCAAACCAGCCCGACGACCTCGGGCCGTGTGATCTGTGAGCCCAGAATTGCGAGGATGTTTCAGGCGGCAGTGGCATGACCACGTCAGGCCAGGGCATTTTGGGGCAAGGACTTGCGGGGATGTGTCAGGCGATATTGGCCGGGCCAATTTCGGCAATGGCAGCTGACATCTTCGAAACCAAAGTTCCGAGGACGTATCATGCGACACTCGCTAGATCGCATCAGACCAGGGCATATGCGAGCTCAGAGGTGCGAGGATGTTTCAGGGTAGACCAGCCAGAAACCCCTGTGGTCAGGGCATCTGTTAGCTCAGATTTGCAATGATTTCTTGGGCTGGGCCAGACCTCGTGATGTCGTGGCATCTCCGAGCCCCGAACACGTCGATGCCTAATGCGAAAGTGGCTGAACCACCACAGGTCAGAGTTGCAAGGATACAGGCTAGGTCAGGTCAGATTAGTTGGACCACCGCGCGCCAGGGTATGTTTAAGCCTAGAGTGCAAGCAGATGTCCCAGACGAACCTGGCTGGACCACCTCAGGTCAGGGTATCTGTGAGACAAGAGTTGCGGCCATGCCACCCCAGGTCAGGGCATCTCTGAGAACTGAGACGGCATGATGGCTCAGGCGAAATTGTCTCGACCACCTCAGGTCAAGGCATCTGCATGCCCAGAGCTGCAATCTCCCAGGCTAGACTATCTGGATCTCTTCAGTCAAGGGCATCGAGGACATGTCCGGCGAAATTCGTCGGATTAGGGTTTTTGTGAGCCAGGAGATGCGAGGACGTCGCAGGCGAGATTGTCTCGACCACCTGAGGCCCAAGCAGCTGTGCCCCCCAGAGTGCCTTCCTCCTCCGCCCCCTCCCCTCCTCCGCCCTCCCCCCCGCGTGGCGCCGATACGTTTGCAGGTGAATTCGTAGCGCTCTCACTGCCCGCAAGTTCTCTGCCCGGTCCGAGCCCGGGGCTATTGTTGATGTTTCCGGTCGCAAGCATAATTTCTTACATTGCCAATGCGCCGTCTGCGTGCCAGGCTTGACTGACTGACTGACTCGGGCGAAACGGGCCGAACCACCTCAAGTCAGGGCATCTGTGAGGCAAGAGTTGCGAGCATGTCTCAGGCAAAGTCTGCCTTGCCAGCTCAGGTGCGCCTCCGAGCCCAGAGCTGCGAGGGTTTCTCAGGCGAAACTGACCGGACCACCTTGGGGCTGGGCGTCCCAAAGCCCAGAATGGAATGGCGAGGATGCCTCCAGGCAAATTGGCATGGCTGCCGCAGGTCAGTGCATCTGTAAGCCCAGATGTGCGAGCGTTTGCTTGTCGAAATGGGCCAGACCACGGCATCTGGGAGTTGGGAGTTCGGAGGATACTTTGGTCGGAGTGGGTTCTACCACCTCAGGCTTGGGCCAGGATTGCGAGGATGTCTCAGACGCGGCGCCCAGTGGGAGGTGGCGCGTGGCAGTGATGGCGAGTGGCAGTTAGAGAATTGGAGGGAGGGAGGGAAGTAAAATACAGGAAAGGAGGGTATGACGAAATCAAGGAGGGAGGATTTATGGATGTGAGTGGCATGTGCTGGAGTCTTGATCCTTGGTGACGCTGTCTTATTGGCTCCTGAGCGGGATACGACCGCCGCTCGAGACATGGTCGGTATTATGATGACGGCAGCGGTTCCCGCGCGGGAGGTCCTCGCATTTCTTAGTTTAGACGGGCTGTGCGGGTTAGGCAGGGGGGATTGTGCAGTTTTTGTTGTTCGAAACTTTTTTTGCATAAGGCATAGCACGTGTCCCAAGTAAATGTCCATTTCGTGCCGATGCAGCCGATCCGACACACCGTCCGAATTGATAAGACTTGCCAGTTCGATGCTGACCTGGGTCTGGACTTGCCTGGAGACCTTTTGGCTTCCACGCATTCCACCAGGTCTCCTGGTGACTCAGAGCAGGCCAGCATGGTAGGTATTCGTCCTCGTCGTCGCCATCGATCGAGGATCGAGGGCCGATGGACAGGCTCTTCATCCCCAGCCGTTTTGCTTGCGGCCCTGGGGCTCGGCGAAACCACGGTGCGGAGTGCGACCTCAGGTTGCGAGATGCGGTTGGGGGGAGCTGCGAACCGGACAGGGAGCAGCAGCGACGAGGAGGGGAGTGAGGAGTGGGGAGTGAGGAGGCCCCCGATCGAGGGGGCGGAGTGAGGAGTGAGGAGTGAGGAGTGAGGGTAGTGAGGAGTGAGGAGTGAGGAACGCCCAAGAGCCCCCCGATCGAGGAGGCGGGGTGGGGGCGGTGCCCTTTCTGCTGCCGCTCCGACTCTTGTCCATCATCTCCAGCCCTCCTCCAGCTGTTCCTCCTCCTCCCCTTTCTCTGTTCTCTGGGCCCCGGGTGGCCCGGCCCGTCTGCGGGCGCGCAACGGGCCCGTCTCCCGCACTCCCCGCACGGCCAAGAGAATGTCTGCGTTTTTTCGTGTCTCTGGCTGTTCGGGGCGGCCCGTGCACCTCCAGAAGAGCCCTGGGCGAGGCGCAGGTGCAGGAGGAGGAGGAGGAGGAGGGGAAGTAGGAGGAGCAGGAGAAGAAGTAGGAGGAGGAGGAGGAGGAGGAGGAGGAGGAGGAGGAGGAGGGAGGAGGAGGAGTGAGGAGTGAGGAGGAGTGAGGAGTGAGGAGTGAGGGAGGAGGGAGGAGCCGCTGGAGAGCACCTGGAGGCGCGAAACGGCCGCCGAGAGCCGACGCAGGCGCCCCGCCCTCTCTCCCCCCGCCCGCGGGCGCGCGCTCCCCCCGCCCAGGACCGCGTCTCCTGCTTCTGGGACCGGCTCCTCTCCGAGGGCCCGAACGGGCTGCTCATCGGGCGGCGCGACGAGTACGACACGTGCCTGGTGCTGCCCCGGGCTCGACGGGCCTGCGCGCGCGCTCCAGCGATCGCGCGCGCGCCCCAGGCGCTCGGGGAAGGGAGGGAGCAGGGACAGGGAGGGGCCGCGGCCGCGCCTTGTCCCTGCTCGGCCGCTGGGCGTGGCCGCGGGAGGGAGCAGGGACAAGGGTGGGGTCAAGCAGAGGCGAAGTGTCCGCCTCCTCCTCCCCCTCCCCCTCCCCCAACCCCTTCCGTTCCTCGCCCTCCGCCTCGCCCTCCGCCTCGCCCACCTCCCCCTCCTGACTCCCTCCCCCCCACCCTCCCTGGGAACCGCCGCGGCGAAGCGCGAGGCGGATGCAGGGCGGGGGGGGGGGGAAGAACTGGGCGGGGGGAAGAACGCACGGCGGCCGCGCCGTAGCTTCCTCAGAGGCCCACGCCCACCAGAGAATAGTCTACGGGCCTTTTGTGGTTTGCACGGCGTGTTCTGGAAGCATTTCTGGCTGAGGTCGGTTTGTTTCCATACTTCGGCTGCGTGTTGAAAGCACGTTGTTGTTGCTATGTGGACATTCTCTTGTTTCAAAAACATGCCGTGGTAGGTCTAAAGAAATGCCGGGACGGTCGGGCCTTGCTCAATAAGGGGGGGGCGAAGTCTTGAGGCTCGAGGTCCGACGTTTCCGGACGTTCTCGTGGGTTCTCGTCGGCTTTCTAGCCTCGTGATGCTGTCCATTGGCCGCGACTCGCCGAGAGCGTTCTGGTGGTGCCCCAGATCGCCCCGAACGGCCGCCAAGGAGCCGATCTACGACCTGAAAGCCAATGGGCACCGCTCCGGTGGGGGCTAGGCTCTGGGGCGAATGCATCGACCCTGGATCGCCGATGCATCGTCGACAGGGGCCCGATAGCCAACCTGTCAACCTGCCCAGGAACGTGCGAATCCGCCGCTATCAGGGAGTTCTCGCCGATCTGTCGGCGATGCATCGCCGATTCCAGCTCGATGATTTCCCCCACTGAGCCAGACCCCTCTGACGTCCCCCCTCGGGGAAGAGGAGGAGAGATGAGGAGAGAGGAGAAAATAAGAAGAAGACGAAGAAGAGGAGGAGGAAGAGGAGGAGGAGGAGGAGGAGCGATGAGGACCAGTGTAATCTCAAGATGCGTCAACAGCGTTGTGCTAAAACCCTTCCTCTAAGTTTCCTCTCCATAGGTCCCGATACGAATTGATGTGCATTGCCAGGAGTGACCCATTGTAATATACCCGCCTGAGAATCTCCAACCATGCCCGGACACTAGATTTGGGACTTCAGCGCCGCGAAGTTGCGTTATTGGTTCGTCCTGGCAATCCTAAACGTGCCAGAACACCACTCCTGGTATTCCAGGCCTACGAATCGTGAACATGTTGCAAACGTTTAAGGTGAATGCATGCGGCGCTGAGGCGAGAGCCACATTTTGGAAAAAGGAGCCCTCCTCCATCCTTGAAGTTGTCGCCAACTTCTGTGTCGAATGTGCGCGGGGCTGAGGCGAGAGCCACGTTTTGAGTAGGGTCCGCCCTCCAACCGTGAAGTTGTCGCCAACTTCTGCGTCGAATGTGCGCGGGGCCGAGGCGAGAGCCACATCTTGAGCAGGGTCCGCCCTCCATCCGTGAACCTGCTGCAAAGTTCAAGCCTCGGGATCGTACATGGTGTGGGGGTCCGAGGCGAAACGCACGGCCTGCCCTACCAGCACATGCGGGGGTGCGACAGGGAGGAGTTACGCATTACGAAAGATGCTTGAGAAACAGGTTGGTGTTCAAGCTTAGGCAACGTAGGAGGAGGAGGAGGAGGAGAAGGAGGAGGAGGACGAGGAGAGGGAGGAGGACGACGACGACGAAGAGGAAGGGGAGAGAGGGGTGGAGGAGGCTGGAGGTGGCCGATGAGGGGAAGGAGGATGGGGAGGAGCAGCAGGAGTGAAAGTGTTGAGAGGGAGGAGAGAGCGGAGAAGAAGGGAAATGGGGAGGAGGAGGAGGAGGACGACGAGGACGGATTATTACATCATTGCCTATACGACTACCCTTCGGTTGATGAGGAGGTTGTGGGGGGGGGGGAGAGTGGGGGTAACCAACATCTGACTCAATCGATCTCACCATCGATCCCACACCAAGGGACACCACGGGACACTTGTCAATCTCACTATCGAATGTCACGATCGATCGCACTCCACGAGACACCACGGGACACCACGGGCCACCACAGGACACCATGGGACACCGCGGGACACCTCTCGATCTCACTTTCCGTCTCACGACCGATCTCACTATCGAGCCCACTCGACGGGACACCAAGGGACACCACGGGACACCACGGGACACCACGGGACACCACGGGACACCTGTCGATCTCACTATCGATCTCATTCAACGGGACACCACGGGACACCACGGGACACTTGTCGATCTCATTATCGATCTCATTATCGATCCCCTTGTTTTGGGGCACCACGGAACACCTCGGGGCACCACATCGATCTCACTATCGATCTCACTATCGATCTCCCTTTACGGGACACCAAGGGACACCGGGGCACCACAGGACACCTGTCGATCTCACGTTCCGTCTCACGATCGATCTCACTATTTGGGACACCACGGGACACCTCGGGGCACCACATCGATCTCAGTAACGATCTCATTATCGATGTCACGATCGATTTCACTATCGATCGCACTCAACGGGACACCACGGGACACCGCGAGCCACCGCTGGACGAACGAGGGACAATCATTTGTCGTGACTGCGCCCTAGCAACGGCGGACACCACGGGACACAAATGGACACCGCGGGACACCGCTCAAGCCACCGCCGTACGGATGGAGGAGAATCATATGCCTTGACTTCGCCCTAGCAGCGGCGGACACCACGGGACACCACGGGACGCCGCGGGACACCGCTCAAGCCACCGCCAGACGGACGGAGGAGAAACATTTGTTTTGACTTCGCCCTATCAATGGCGGGCACCACGGGACACCAAGGGACACCGCGGGAGACCGCTCAAGCCACCGCCGGACGGACGGCAGAGGAGAAACATTTGTCATGACTTTGCCCTAGCAGCGGCGGACACCAAGGGACACCACGGAACACCGCGGGACATCGCTCAAGCCACCGCCTGACGGACGGCGGAGGAGAATCATTTGTCTTGACTTCGCCCTAGCAGCGGTGGGTTCATTCCTCTCGCGCGCCCACGCAGCTTCGCCTCGCCCGCACGCACGACACGAACGAAACGAAACGATTTCCCCGTTGGGGGTCTTCGTCCCACTGCGATCTCATCCTCCGACCTCCGATGAGGATGACAGACTGCCGATCGGTCAACGCACCGAGTGCGACGCGTGCGTGGTCTTGCCCCGTCCTCCTCACCCGCAGGTTCTCCTCCCACTCCTCCCCGTCCTGCCCCTACGGATCCATGTCCTCCTCCCCCTCCTCCTCCTCCACCTCCTCCTCCTCCTCCTTGTCCATCCTCCTGTTGAGGCAGGCGATCGGCTGGGGGAAGAGAAGGGTGGAGAGGGGTCAGCAGCAGGAGGGGGCGCCCAGCGCCGAAGCAGAAATCCGCGCGAACGCCCGACCATGTACGTACGCTGATGCAGTCTGGTGTTCCTCTGGCTCCTCCTCCTCCTCCTGCCTGCCTCTGGCCAGCATCCTGCATCCTGCCTCCTCGCCCTGCCTTCCTGCCCCACCCTTACGCCTCTTGCTCCTCCTGCCTCCCCCTCCTCCCCCCGCCTGCTCCTCGTGCCGCCTGCCTCCTCGTGCCGCCTGCCTCCTCCACCTCATGCCGTCTGCTCCTCCTGCCTCCTCGTGCCGCCTGCCTCCTCCTGCCCCCTGCTCCTCCTGCCTCCTCCTGCCCCCTCCTCCTCCTGCCCCCTCCTCCTCCTCCTCCTCCTCCTCCTCATCCTCCTCCTCCTCCTTCTCCTCATCCTCCTCATCTTGCTCCTCCTCCTCCTCCTCCTCCTCCTGCTCCTCCTCCTCATCCTCCTCCTGCCTTTTCCTGCCCTCTCCTCCAAACTTCCTCCTCCTCCTCCTTCTTGTCCAGCCTGCCTATTTGTCCAGCCTGCCTCCCTGTCCCGCCCGGGGAGCCGTGGCCGGGCACCGCCCATGGGGGGTCGGAGCGTGCTCTCCGAGCCGAGGACCCACGGCTTGCCCATCCGGCTGCTGCTGATGAGGCCTCCTGCCCCCCCTCGCTGGGGTCGGAGGTGGATAGACCTCCTGCCCTGACACGTCGATGAAGGAATTGGCCGTTTTCCGTTCGCGAGAGGGCGTCGCGGTCGTCATGTTTTGCGGGTCCAGGCCCGTCGGCTTCGGTCCCAGGCCGTTTTCGCTGAGGGGAGGCTTACTAAAGGGAGGATTGTCCACCGCCGCTGGGGGGGAGAAGTAGGAGGCAGGAGAAGAAGTAGGAGCAGGAGAAGAAGTAGGAGGCGGAGGAGGAGGAGGAGGAGGAAGGGAGGCTTGTCCACCGCCGCTGGGAGGGGAGGGAACCCAGACATGATCGCGTCATCAAAACCTCCGGACGGGAGGTTTCTGGCCACTGTCTGCCTCTGGAGGCCCTTCGCCGGGCCTCGGGAGCGTCCACAAGACGACTCGGGAGGAAAAGCCGGTCCCGGGGAGCGGGTCGGGGCCTCCATGGGTCCCGCGGTCTGCCCATCCGGTTGCTGCTGATGGGGCCTCCTGCCCTCCTCACTGGGGGGGACGGACAGGGGTCGGTTCGATCCCTGCGATGCGATGCGTTTCGACTTCGATGGCCTCCGGTTCCGACTCGATTCCGCTTCGGATTCCGATTTGGGCTCCGATTCTTTACTGGAGACATACTAGCCTGCCGATGTCCGCCGACTCGACTCCACCCGACTCGGCTGCCGATTCCCGCCGATCCGACTCATTTCGATCGCCGATCCGACTTATCGATTCGATGTTGGGCTCTCATGTACGGGGGGGGACTGGCGATGGAAACTTCTCAAGATTGGCAGCGCGCATAACGGGGTCAAGGGGAAGTGGGACGGATCCTTTGAGGGAGGCTGCTCAAAAGGCGCCGGCTCCGCATCTACAGATATAAGGCCCGCGCCTTCTGAGAAGCAGGGTTGTTTCTGAGAAGCCTCCCCCCCTCCCCCACTCCCTCCTCTGCGTGTGGTTGACAAAATGAGGAGGCTCCACATCTATAGATAAGGCCCGCGCCTTCTAAGAAGCAGGGGTGCTTCTTAGAAGCCTCTCCCCCTCCCCCTTCTCCTCTCTGCGCGTGGTTGACGACATGATGATGATGATGATGATGATGATGATGATGCTGATGATGATGATGATGATGATGATGATGATGATGATGATGATGATCATGATGATGATGATGATGATGATGATGATGAGGATGAGGATGATGATGAGGATGAGGATGAGAGGATGAGGATGAGGATAGGAGGAGGAGGAGGAGGAGGAGGAGGAGGAGGAGGAGGGAGGGAGGTGGCAGCCAGGGAGGGGCGCACAGCTCGTGCATCCGTTCACGAGCCCGGCCCTCGCCAGGGAGGAGGAGGAGGAGGAGGAGGAAACGAGGAGGAGGAGGAGGAGGAGGAGGAGGAAAACGAGGAGGAGGAGGAGGAGAGGAGTGATGAGGAGGAGGGGGAGGAGGAGGAGGAGGGAGGAGGAGGAGGAGGAGGAGGAGGAGGAGAAGGAGAAGGAGGAGAAGGTGACGAAGATTCGAAGCAGAAACAACTACATAAGCATAATCCTTCGACGGTACGCGCAGAGTTCATGAACCTGCGCCGAAGCCCCCTGGCGGCGCCTGCAGTGCCGCCCCTGGCGCGCTCCGTGCGCCAGGGATGGGGGACCCAGCGCTGATCCAATACATCCGCACGGAACGTCGAGAGTTAACGTTTATGCCATGTGTCTTCTCTCTCTGAAGATGGTCACGAAGCACTTGCCTACCCAGATCTCCGACGAGGTGTTTTCTTCAAGCCGGGCGTTTTCCTCGATGTCGGCCCCTGGGGCCAGCTATCGGGCTCTTGGCCCTCCAAGAAACAGTTCTGGGGAATCAAATCGTCGGCCAGGGAAGGGGTCGAGACAGGACCTCTGGGGCCGCCCAAAGAAACAGTCAGATAGGAGGATGTCTGGATCTTCCTATTCCTCCCTCCTCCGCATCATTTTTTTATGTTCTTTTTTTGTTTTCTCTCTCTCTCTCTATCTCTATCTCTCTCTCCTCTCCACGACAACGACTCAATCTGTATACTACTGTCTTCCCTCCATCCCGAGTCGGGCGTTCTTCTTGTCGGCGTCTCTCCATCGCAGGCCTCCAACCTCCTAGACCAGCGGGCTGGGAGTGCCTCCAGCTTTAGAGACGAAAGGGCCGTCGGGCCCGTAGGCCCGATCGGCTCGCCTTGCTGACAAAGTGGGGAGGGCGGAGAAGACGAAGAAAGGGGCGGAGCGATGAGCCCGAGGCCCTCTCTCTCTTCCTCTTTTCTCTCTCTCGTTCTCTTTTCCTGTCTCTCTCTCTCTCTCTCTCTTTCTCTCCCTTTCTCTTTTTCTCCGTATGTGACTATATAGACACATATCCATTCACATAAATCCGAAAGGTGCTTTGTGGGTTTGCGTGGGCCCCTGGCTCCCCGAAGTTCCCGGGGCCTCCCAGGGGCTTTGCAACGGCTCCGGAAGGCACCCAGAGAGGTCCTAAACGGCGCCGGAGCTCCCCTGAGGGTCCCGGGAGAGGCCCCACGCGGCGCCGGAGCTTCCCAGAATAGCCCCGAGACTGCCCACGGAGGCCCCCAGACGACCCAAGACGGCTTTCAGGCGGCCCAAGACGTTCTCCAGACGTCCCCCTGCGCCCCAAAAACGCCCTGGGGGTCCACGGGATCCCCCATGGGGACTCCACGGAGCAAAAAAACGTCACATTCCCATTGTCAACTGTACATGTTTACTGGATTCGACACTTTCCTAATCGAATCCTCCACAGGTCCCAGCGATCGCCCAAGACAGTCCCCAGGATGGCCCAAAAATGGCCCGGACGGCCCCAGGACGGCCAAAGAGGCGCCCAGAACGGCCCGAGAAGACCCCAAGACACGCACAAGAGGGGCCCAGGAGAGCCCAAGATGGCCCCAATACGATCCAAATGGCGCCCAAGATGGCTCCAGACGGCCCCCAAGACGGCCCTAGAGGCGCCGTCCAGCACCCAAGACGGCCCCGAGGAGCCTCATGAGGCCCGGAAGAGCCCTCACAGAGCCCCCAAACGGCAACCAAGAGGTCCGACAAGCCCCCAAGAAGCCGAACAGAGCCCTCCCAGAGCCTCCAAACGGCCCCCACGACGCCTCCAAACTGCCTCCCGGAGACAGGGGCGGACGAACGGGAGAGGCCGACGACGAGTACGCCGCCGCCGCCGACGACGACGACGACGACGACGACGACGACGAAGACGATGATGACGACGACGACGCCAGCGACAGCGACGACGACGACAACGACGAAGACGACGATGACGGCGACGACGCCAGCGACAGCGACGACGACGACGCCGACGCCAAACGGCCCCCAAGACGCCTCCAAACAGCCTCCAAGAGACGGGCGGACTAATGCGAGAGGCCGACGACGACTACGCCGCCGACGACGACGACGACGAAGGCCGAAAAGAGCCCCCCCAGAGCCTCCAAACGGCCCCCACGACGCCTCCAAACTGCCTCCAAGAAACAGGGGCGGACTAATGTGAGAGGCCGTCGACGAGTACGCCGCCGACGACGACGAAGACGACGATGACGACGACGACGACGATGACGACGACGAGGACGACGACGGCGGCGGCGAGGACGACGACGAGGACGAGGACGACGACGTCGACGGCGACGACGACGACGACGACGACGACGACGACGCGCGCCGCCCCGTCGCCGCCCCGCGCGCCCGCCGCGCATGCAGCAGGCGGGGGGGGGGTCGGAGAACAGAAGCTAAGAGCAGGAAACGAGACGGGACGACAGGGCGCCGAGGGAGAGGGACATGTACAGGAGTCCAAATAGAACAGCGGAGAAAGATGCCGATTACGACGACGGCGACGACCACGACCACGACGTCGATCACGACGGCGACGACGACAACGGCGACGACGACGACGACGACGGCGCACGACCACGACGTCGATCACGACGGCGACGACGACGACGACCACGACGACGGCGGCGGCGGCGGCGCCAGCGGCGACGACGGCAGCGGCGGTGGCGACGACGACGACGAGGACGACGACGTCGACGACGACGACGACGAGGACGACGATGACGACGACGACGACGACGACGACGAGGACGACGACGACGACGACGACGACGACGACGACGACGACGACGAGGACGAGGACGACGACGACGACGACGACGACGACGCGCGTCGCCCCGTCGCCGCCCCGCGCGCCCGCCGCGTGTGCAGAGGGCTCGGGGGGAGCACAGAAGCGGTAAGCAGGGGGCTGGACAGAACGAGGGCCCGCCGCGTGTGCAGAGGGCTCGGGGGGAGCACAGAAGCGGTAAGCAGGGGGCTGGACAGAACGAGGGCCCGCCGCGTGTGCAGAGGGCTCGGGGGGAGCACAGAAGCGGTAAGCAGAGGGCGGGACGGCGGGACAGGACGAGAGTTGGCCGAGGGAGAGGAACTTCCCCCCGCGTCCTCCTGCCCACCGCTGAAAGTTCCTCAATCCAAGGACTCCATGTGCCCGGCCAGGTCCTCCGTCTGCGATCCTTCTGGAAGCCGTCTTAGAGTGAGGGCCACCTGGGCCGTCTTGCGGCCCTGTTGGGTCGTTGCGTTGCTCCAGCGGTTACTGAATGTTGATGCTTGTTCCTTCCTGGGGCCCTTTGAGAGTGCTGTCGGGGGCCTCGAAGAGCGTTTTGGGAACCTCTACACCCGTCTGAACGCTGTTTCAGCGTCTTCGTCAGAAAATCCGGCTTTCCGGAACCCTCCACGAACAACTTCACCTTCTCGTTAAGCATTTAGTCCGCCTTGGAGGTTTCCTGGGGCCTGGAATCCTCCAAAGAGGATGCCCCCGGACGGTTCCAGGCGGGTCCAAGGGGTCCCCCGAAAGGGCTCCATCAAGCAAAAATCATCACAGTCCCTTCGGAAAATTAGCATTTTCAACAGATTCGGCTCATTGGTCTTCGAAGCGTCCAAAACGGCCCCAGAGGCCTCCAAGATCGCCCAAGACGGCCCTCAAGAGGGCCCA